CGTCCGGGGCCCCTCTCCAGGACTGTGTCCTTTTGGAACACGGACCCTAGGCCCGACCCTCGACCCTCGGGGACAGATGCGGCCTCGGAGAAAACAGCTGCCGCCCTGACCCTAGGTTCGAGCCCGGGGCTCACTGTGCGAGCTTGTGTCCGCTCATGTTGAGGGTCCCTCAGTCTATAAAGCGAGGCCCACCTTGCGGGCTGGAATAAAAGAGGTGAGCGCGCTTCGTAAACTGCTAACGCTCTGGAGATGGAGTTATAGTCTTGGAGGGCTTGTGGATCCGGCTGGAAACGGAGGTGGGAAGGACTGGGAGCTGAGAAGGGGCAGGGAGGGACTGGGGCAGCTGCTGCCCAGTCCCCTAGCCCCCCTCCCCCCCTTTCCTCTTCTTCCACCGCGAGTCCTCCAGACGGTCTGGCTGTTTTGATCGCACGGATAGAGAATAACCAGGGAGGACACCAGGCAGTGGGGCCAGCAACAGGCCCCCAATAAGGCCCGGAGCAAGGAGCTGGCTCTGCAGCGCCACCTGGCGACCAGAGGGGAGTTGCAGCCAGAAGGTGACCTCGGTCCCCAAAAGAAGTCGCACATCACTCATGGCCCTTGTTGCAGCTGTTTATTTCCAGCATGTTCCGGACCTAGTGACCCACCACAGTCCAGCAGGAGAAAGGTGGGAGAGAGTAAGGTCAGCTTGCACCCCTGCCCATCCCTAACGAAGGTTACCTCCTTGCTGGGAGCTAAACCCATGCAGGCAAGAGTAATTACAGGAGAAGACTCAGAGGTCCCTGGAAAAGGGATGCAGCCAAGCCCTATGCCAGGCTGGCAGGCCACGCAGCTGCAGGTACAAAGTCTGTTCAGGCTGCCCTGGCCCCCTCCCCTGCACCCCTGCATGGCACTGTGCCCCATCCTGCGGGACTAGGACTGGGCTTAGCGCCCCAGCAGCTGTAGCATCTCCTGAGGGTCCACCAGCTTCTCCCGGGGCTTCCCAGCACCCTGGCCCCGGGACACCTCCTCAGCATCCAGCTTTTCCCAGTCTGAGAAAGAGACAGGCTGGACCCCTGAGGCAGAGGAGAGACAGTCACTTCCTTCCCCTCTTCCTCCTCCTACACCCCAGCCCCCAGCACCCCTCCAAAGGGTGAAAAGGCCCAGGGGCTACCACCCCTCCCACCTCCCAGGACCTCAGCCTCGGGCCCCAGACCTCGGCCGCTGAGCAGAGCCTCGATGGCCGCATAGCCAGGCCTGGGGCCCGAGGGCAGCAGGCCCCCCTGAAGGTCCTGCAGCAGCGCCTGGCCGGTGAGGAAACTGTCGTTCATGGTAGTGCCAAGGACGCCTGTGGGCCCCCGCTTCACCCAGCCACTGCAGTAAAGGCCTGAGAGGGGGGTAACAAAGGGGTACAGACAGGGGAGGTGGCTGGACACCTGCCTGGCAAGTCTGCACACCCCATACAGACACGTGTAACATGCACACACCCCGAGATCCTCCCCAAAGCCCATTAGCTGGGCCCGACGTGGCTGTCGGCCCACCGCCCAAGAGCCTTCCCAGCCTGTTTTTACCACCCCCGCCCCCCTTATGCCTGGGTCCTCCTATGGGGCTAGAGCTCCTGCGGGTGCGAGCTGAGTCTCGTCCATGTCCAGGGCCAGCAGGCCCTCTGCAGACACTGGCTGAATGAATTAACGTCTAGACAGGTACGTGGGACATTTAATCAGATGGGGAGCTGCCTGAGGATAGGGCTGCCTTATTAACCTCCACACCCCAGCACTGAGCACAGGGTGTCACCCAGGGCAGACCTCTGAAAATGTCTGTTGAATGACTTAATGACCAGACATATGCGGTCATCTCAGCTAGACTGGGAGCTTCCCCTAGGGTCAGGAGGAGGGTGGGCAGGGTCCTGGGACAGGGTCCTGGCGCAGGGCCTGACCCAGAGCAGCTTCTCGGTGCACATCACTGACTGGATGAATGAATGAATGAATGAATGAATGAGCAGTCCCAGGAGATACCTGCCTCCTGCTTCCCCCCCATAACTCAATCCAGCCTTCTCATGCCATCTCACCTGGCACATCCACAACCCGACCCTCTGTATTGGGGATGACCCCAAGTTTGGGGTCAAAGGGCACGCTGGGGTCGATGGGGCGGCTCTTATACCCCACACTGCTCAGCACCAGCCCACAGCGGAGGTCCTCCATGTCTCCTGTGGGGACTGCCCGGGCGGCCTCACCGACACCCTGTTGGGGAAAGCATGGGCAGCACAAGGCCAGGCGGGAGGCCTGAAGAGGGGGTACCTTCAGTCACACGAGACTCACCTCCAGTTTGGTGACTGCCAGGCGGATGCCTGCTGTCCGCTGCCCATCTGGTGAGGGCAGCACCTGCTGGGGGCTTCGGAAAAAGCGGAGGCCCCAGGCACGGGAGGCGGACTCCTGGCAGGCAGCCTCCTCCGGGCCCCGCTTCTCCGTGGCTGTTCGAAGCAGCAGTTCCGTCAGCCGCCTCCTCGGACGAGGGACCTCTGTCACCAATGAAGACCATGTCAGGGCCGTCCCCGGGTCCCAGCCCCCTCCCCCATGCTCTCCCCCACACCCTCTCTGACCTAGACCATCCCTTCCCTCGTGAGCTGGGGGTCAGGTCAGGGCCCCTCACCCTTGATTCGGTCCTGGAGGCCCAAGAAATCCACAGGGTTCAAAATGGGCCGGGTTCCTGGTAACTGAACCATCTCCCGCAGCTCCTTGGGGGTGGGGGGTGGGGCAGAGATTAGGCCCAGAGTGCTGTCCACCTGAGCCCACCCTGAGCCCAGCCAGCCCCAGCGTGAGACACCACCCCCCACCCCCACAGAAGGCCCTGGACCCCAGGAGTCCTGCCTGGCTCCCCACCTCCCACCCCAGGTAGCAGCCACTTTGAGGGGCTCTGCCCTGCCCACTCCCCCAAGGGGAGACCCTCTATTTGGCTCCTCCCCCTCCAGCCCCAGCACCTTAATGGTGAAGGCCACTTGCAGGGGCCCACGCCGGCCCACTATCCACACCGTCTTCACCCGACTCTGCCTCAGTACCCGCAGGGAGGCCGCCGTGATGTCTGTTTTCTGGCACAAAAGGAGGGCTTTGAAGTCATCAGACACGGACAGGGAGAATGGGACTTTCCATTTGGTCAAGCGCAGAGATCATAGTGCCCCGAAGTTGCCCCACTGCCCCCCCGCCCCCGATGGCCAGATGGAGCATTGCCGCCAATTCTGTAAATGGCACCAAAAACAAAACAAACCCTTTGCCAGGGAGTAGATTCTGACTCATAGCAACCCTATAGGACAGAGTGGAGCTGCTCTCATCGAGTCTCCAGGGCCGTAATCTTCATGGAAGCAGACTGCCACATCCTTCTCCCGCAGAATGGCTGGTGGGTTCAAACCACTGACCTTTTGGCCAGCAGCCAAGTGCTTAACCACTGCACCACCAGGGCGCCTTTTACAAATGGCACCAATGAGGAGCAAACCAGGCCCACATTCTTTCATTCAACAAGTGTTTGCTAAGCAGCTACCATGTGCCAGGCTCCATGCAAGGGGCAGGGGCAGGGAAGTAAATGGTGAGCAGAACAGATAAAGGTGCCGGCCCTCACAGAGCGCTTGATCTGTCAGGAGACAGATACTCATCAATTACTCAGATACTCATCAGTGAGTGTAAAACTGTGCTGGTGAAAGGTGCAATGGAACGGGGCAGATAGGTCTATGAGAGGGTATTACAGGTGAAATGGACCTCCTCAGGGAGGTCCTGGAAGGCTTCCTGGAGGAAGGGACAACTGAGCCGAGAACTAAAAGATGAGTAGAGGTTAACTACCTGGGGCAAAAGGTTAGTCGGGGCAGTGTTCCTTGCCAGAGAGTGGCATGTGCAAAGGCCCTGTGGCACACTGAAGAGAAAAATAAAGGCTGTGTAGCTGAAGTACAGGAAGTGAAGGGGGAAATGGTATGAGATGAAGCTCACAGGCTGCCTTTCAGAAGGCCTCTGCCTGGGCACCATGGGGAAACAGAAGCACTGAGCTCAGCTTGGAGGGGTAAGGCCTGAGGCCTGCAGGCCAGGCACCCTCTCCTCGGTGTGACCCTCCCCCCTCCAGCCCCTGCCCCACCCACTCACCTCCAGGTGCTCAGGTGGGGTCAGCAGGATCCGAGCCACGTCCAGAGCCACGTTCCCTTGTCCCAGGATCACAGCTGTGTCGCAGCTCAGGTCCGGCATCAGCTGGAAGCAAGAGGTCTTGATAAGGTTGTCCTGGGCTCGGCTCCAGTCAGGCTAATCTCAGTCTCTGGTTGCCTCATGCCTGTCCCTTAGGCTCTCCACGCTCAGAAAGTCCATCCTCCCCTACCCGGCCGCACCTCCTCCTAGAGGCCCTCCAAGATGGACCTCTGGCCTCCTCATCTCACTGGAAGCCTCCCAGGCCTAGATGGCAGCTCCTCCTCCCCCAGCTCTGGCATCCACGGCTGCCCGCAGCCCTGGCTGGGGGGTAGGGAGAAAGGCACAGATGGAATGTTCCCTGTACTCACCTCCCGGTTCTCAGGAAGCCCGTTATACCAGCCCACAAAGGCCCGAGCCGAGAGCACACCAGGCAGCTCCTCCCCGGGAATTCCCAGGGCCTGATGGTCCTCTGCCCCATAGCTCTGAGGAAAGATGGCAGGCCTGGAGCCCTCAGCCCCTCGGGGAGGGACCAGGCAGATCTCCTCCCAGCTCCTCCTCCTCCACAGCTTCCATCCTAGCCATGCCCAGCAGTTTGGGCCTCACCCCTACCGCCACCTTCCATCCCTGCAGCTCTGCTGCAGCCCCTCCCCAGAACCCCCGTCCCTGCCCACAGCCCACCACCTGCACTCACCAGCACCACGGCGTGGTAGGCCTCCCGCAGCTCCGGCACCATCACATCCCTGCCCACCACCACGTTGCCCCAGAAGGCACAGCGGTCAGAGCGGGCCGTCTGGGTAAAGGTATTGATGACATTCTGCCGCATCCCCCCAACCCCGGGGAGGAGATTAGAGGGGGGAGAGTTCCAGAGACCAGGCTTGGGCCACCCCCAGCCGCTGTGTCCTCAGAACAGCCAGGAAGCCTTCCTTCCCCCCCTCATCTTGACCAAAGTCCCCAAACCCCACCTTCTGTGCCCAGAGAGACCCACCTTCACCTCAGGGTGGTCGGGCGCCACACCAAAGCGCACCAGGCCAAAGGGCACCAGCTGCTTCTCGTAGATGTCCACGTGCGCCCAGGTGTGGTGCTGCGGGGAGAGGGCAGCAGCTGGTGGGGCTGAGGGAGAGGCTGACCGCCCACGGGGCCTCCCCTTCCTGGGACAGAGCTGGAGGGCTTGGCTCAGTGGGCTGAGGATACAGCCGGGCCTCCACCCTCTGCAAGAAGAAAGAGAGCCCCTTGACTCCCCATCTGCCCAGAGAGCCAGGCAAGGGGAATGGGGCAGCACAAGCAGCAACGGGAACTGAGGTCAGATCTCAGGAAGGACTGCTAGCCCATCAAGACGTGAGAAATGTGGCCAACTATGGAAGGCTATAGCTTCCCCTCCGCTGGAGCCGTGTCAGAGGAGCTTCTACCCACCCGGGCCAGGTGTGACACACAGCCCTGCCCTAGAACTCTAGATGCTTCTAGAAATGCCCAGCCAGTCTGATGATCTGGGAACAACCCCTTGAAATTCATACCTGCCTTAGCTCTAGTCTCCAAGACTGTCCCGATGGAGAGGGGACCAGCAGGGCAGGGCGTGGGAGACACAGCAGTTGGAGTACAGGGTGCAGGAATGGAAGTGACCCTACCCCCAGGCCTAGAAAAACCACCTCACTGGTTCCACCAATCATTGGTTCTGGCTCATGCACGCTGCCTTGAGGGGCCATGGGGAAAGCACAGGGTTGGGGTCAGGAAGGCAAGTCTGGTCTGGCTGTGCCACCCACCAGCTGCATGACCCTGACAAGTCCCAGTCTCTCACTGGGCCTCGGTCTCCTCCTGCTAACTGGGATGGAAACACCTTCCTCTTGGGGTTGTTGGGAAGTACCCAGAAGGTCATGATGGTGAGGACTCTGGTGACAAACACACTTGCAGCACAGCAGTTGAGACTCCTGTGGGTGACACTGCCCTGCCCACCCCATCCCAGGCTCTTGCTATTGTTGTGTGCCATCGAGTCAATTCTGACTCACAGTGACCCTCGATGACAGAGGAGAACTGCCCCACAGGGCTCCCCAGACTGTAATCTTTATAAGAGCAGATCATCAGGTCTTTTCTCCTGCGGAGCCACTGGTGGGTTTGAACCACTGACCTTTTGGTTAGCAGCCGAGCACTTAATCATTGCACCACCAGGGCTCCATTTGGCTCTTGCTGTAATACCTCCCAATTCAACGGGACTCAAGCTAAATGGAGCTCTGGCCCTCCAGTCGCCCTTGTCCCTGACAAGGCCCACACTCACCTCCTGACCTTTATCCAAGCCCCTCCCCTCCCCCCACTGCCTGCAACCATGTCCAGGCTCCCACCACCACCCATCGTGCCTCCTGACTCTCCCCATCCCAGGCTCCCAAATCTACCTCCCGCAACCCCACCAGTGATGCACCCACGAAGAGCACTGACTTTGGAGTCAGACAGCCAAGGGCTCCAATCCCAGTCTCACCACCAACTGGCTCTGTGCCATGGGGAAAGGCGCTTAGCTTCTCTGTAAACCAGAACAGTTCTTCTACTCGTGAAGAGTGTGCTTCTCAGCTCAAGTAGATACATGAGACTAAATGGGCAGCTCCTGTCCGGAGGTGAGATGAGAAGGCAGAAAGGGTCAGGAGCTGGTTGAATGGACACGGGAAATCCAGGGTGGAAAGAAGGAGTGTGCTGTCACAGTATAGGAAGAGCAACTAGGGTCACATAACAATGTATGTATAAATTTTTGTATGAGAGACTAACTTGAAATGTAAACTTTCACTTAAACTACAATTAAAAAAAAAAACAAAAAAACGCAGACCATTTCTTCCAACATGATGTTCAAGGTTAAATGAGTAAGGCTCACAGAAGCACTTTACGTTCAATAAACAAGCTATCATTACTATCACTGTCGTTGCTCGTCACTGCCTTGCTCAAAAGCCTTCGCTAGCTGCCCACTGCCCACGGGACAAAGTGCAGATTGTTAACCCGGCAGCCAACACCTTACGCAATCCAGCTTCATCTTCATCTTCCTTTCTTTCCTGCCCAGGATCCTTCACTCTGTCTACATCGCTTCCTCCAAGGCCACCCCTTTAAAGTGAAATTTGCTGGATACTTTTCACCTGTTATCTCCCTGGCTGACCTCATCTTCCAGGAAACCGCTCCTCCTGACTCACGGTCCCCTCCTATCCCTCGGCTGCTCCTTCTCAGGCCCCTTTTCCTCTGTCGTTGTTGTCAGCTGCTATTGAGTTGGCCCCCGACCCATGGCGACCCCATGCACAGTGGGATTGGATCACTGTGCTCCATAGGGTTTCCACCGGCTAATTTTCAGAATTAGATCGCCAGGCCTTTCTTCCTAGTCCCACTTAGTCTGGACGCTCCACTGTCCAGCATCCTAGCAACACACAAGTCTCCACTGACAGATGGGTGGTAGCTGCACTTGAGGTGCATTGGCTGGGACTCGAACCCGGGTCTCCTGCATGGAAGGCGAGAATTCTACCACTGAGCCACCGCTGCCCTCATCACTGCCCCTCACAAGGACGTTCTCCAAGGGTCTTCCAACCTGGGTCCGCCTCCCTTTTCCCTCGGAGCGCACTCTCTGGGGGGCTTTCACCCACTCCCTCCTGTGACCTCAAGTTCCTGTGGAATTGCTGACGACATCCACTCTCTCTCTCCTGCCCAGACTTCTCGCCCAGCTCCAAACCTGAGGGCCCTGCATATCTCACCCCAGAAACCTCAAACTCACCCGGATGAAAGCCGACTCCCCTCCCCCTAAACTTCTCTGATGCTTCTAGGTTCCCTTCCACCTGAGTATCCACCAGGAGCCCAAGCCAGAACCCGGGGCTCCTTCCTGACTCCCCTCGACCTCATCCCATCAATCCCACATCCTTCCCTTCCTCCTCCCCCACTGCCACCCCAGCAGCTCTCCCGGACACTAGCCCCACCCTGCCAAACCAAAACCCCATTGCCGTCAAGTCAATTCCAACTCACAGTGACCCTACAGGACAGAGTAGAACTGCCCCGTAGGGTTTCCAAGGAGGGCTGGTGGATTCCCATCCCGCCAGTGTCCAGGACTGAATGAATGGCCCAGCGGGGTACTCAGGTGACGGCTCTGCAGTCAGACCACCTGCGCTGAGATCCTAGCGCCCTCCCTGCTCAGCGGTGGGACCGCGGACAACCTCGCTCAGCCTAAGTGTCCTTATCCGTGAAACGGGAGCCACACACCTGCTTCACAGGCTGTGGCGAGGGCATAATGGGAGACTGTGGACAGTGTCTGACTCACAGTTAAGTGCCACTGTCCCAAACCTGCCTCGCACATTCCCACCTCGGAAGGGCGGACAGTAGCTCGGGTGCTCCCAGTGGCAAGGACCAGCTCGTATCTGACCGCTGTGGCCACCCCCAGGACCACCCCCCTCCGAGGAAAGAACACGCAGGTGTCTGCCAGCCGAGGGCAGGCCGGCGCCTCTGCTCACACGGGGCCACTGCGAACCCTGCCTGGAGGGCCGAGTCTCCCCGCTCCCGGAACGTGAGGCTCAGCTAACACAGTGCCCCTTACATGAAGCCCTCCTGGGTATCCCAGCCCGAGTCAGTTGCTGGTCTTGGTTCGGGCCCAGGCTCTCCTCCCATGTGGCAGTGTGCCCGTGGCCTTGCATTCCCAGGATGCCTCCCCACACGTGGGAGGCCGTCTCACGGCCTTCTCCTGTGCAGCACAAATGCGTCTTCTCCAGGAAGCAGTTTCTGACTGGCCCCCTGGACCTGGCTCGCTCGGCAGACATCACATAATTAGCTCTCTCATCTGTTGCTTAAAGAGCCCTTGTGGTGCAACAGTTAAGCGCTCCACTGTTAACCGAAAGGTTGGCGGTTTGAGCCCACGCAGCGGCTCTGTGGGAGAAACACCTGGCGGTGGTATAGCTTCCAGCATCACAGCAACACTCAAGCCCTCACAGTACCACAAACTGACAGACACATCGGGGCTGTAAAGATTAGAGCCTAGGAAACCCTATGGGGCAGTTCTACTCTGTCACATGGGGTCACTATATGAGTTGAAATCCACTCGACAGCACCCAACAACAACATCTGTTGCTTAGAGTGTGCTTAGGTCACTTTTCAGCACAGTGACCAACCCATCCTATTCTCCCGGGACTCTCTTGTGTTAGCACGGAAAGTCTCGTGTCCTGGGAAACCCCAGGGTCCTGGGCAAACCGAGCCGATTGGTCACTCTACCTTTTTTTTTTTTTTTTTTAACATTTTATTTGTATTGTTGTGCTTTAAGTGAAAGTTTACAATTCAAGTTAGTCTCTCCTAGAAAAATTTATACATACATTGTTATGTGACCCTAGTTGCTCTCCCTATACTGTGACAGCACACTCTTCCTTTCCACCTCTGATTTCCCATGTCCATTCAGCCAGCTCCTGACCCTCTCTGCCTTCTCATCTCGCCTCTGGACAGGAGCTGCCCATTTAGTCTCATGTATCTACTTGAGCTAAGAAGCACACTCTTCACAAGTATCATTTTATGTCCCATAGTCCAGTCTACTCTTTGTCTGAAGAGTTGGCCTCAGGAATGGTTTTAGTGCTGGGTTGAGAGAGAGTCCGGGGGCTGTGCTTTCTGGGGTTCCTCCAGTCTCAGTCAGACCATTAAGTCTGGTCTTTTTACTACAGTTTGAGTCCTGCACCCCACTTTTCTCCAGCTCCATCTGGGACTCTCTGTTGTGTTCCCTGTCAGGGCAGTCACTGGCGGTCACCCTACCTTTCCAGTGTCTGTGTGTACATGAACCATCCTTTCTCCTGTCTCTCTACAGACACTCTGAGTCCCTCCAAAGCAGGGCCACTTTCTCCCATCTCGGTCAGCCTGGGTCTCCCCTGCCTCCGCCCACCAACCCTGAGGCCTGACGTGGAGTCTCAAGGGCAACCAGTAGCCTTGGGCCCTGCCTGCCAAGGCCAATACTGCAAGCCTTGAAGCCTTGGCCTTCATGTTATGTGTGGTGTGTGGGGGCAGGGTGAGGAGAGCAGGCTGAAAGAAAAAAATGGTGCAGTGAGGGCTGGGGCTATTGGTGAGGGGACCACAGAGAGGTGGCTAAAATGACAGAAAGCCCTGGGAAGAGGGGGCAGCCCGAGATGCAGGATGTTGGGGACAGATAGAGACAGATGAGGAAGAAGGGAAGATGAGGGGCAGAACAAAGTCACTCTGCAGGTCTGCATTAGCTCCCTGGAGCGCTTGCCGAAGAAGCCGACCATCCACTACCAGCCACTGACCACTGGCCCCCACCCATGAGGAAGACACACTCTCCCACAGTGGAGAATCTAGGGTGGGGAGCCCCAGATGTAGACAAGGAAGCGGGTAAGATGAGTCGAGCCTAGATCGGCTGGGAGCCCCTTCCCCATCTGGGATTCAGGAGTGCTCTGAAAACCCAGAGGGGGTGGGGCTTACCCTGAGGTTTGGAGCAGCAGGTGAACCATGGGGGAGGGACCAGGAGGAAGCAGATTACCTTTAGCAGGTGTTGGGCCGTGTAGAAGCCAGCTGGGCCACTGCCTACCACACAGATCTGGGGGATGTGCTCTTGTGTGAAGAACTGCCTGCGAGAGCCTGCGGAGGGGGGCAAAGGTCAGACCAACACTCCCTCCCCAATCCCAAACCGACTTCCATGTCCACCAGAAGTTGGAGCTTCCCAAGCTTCACCCTCACCAGCACCCTCCTCCTCCTGCCCCTCCAGGCGTTGGCCTCTGCAAGGTCCCTTACTTCATCAGAGCCCCCAAAGGCTATGTCTTTATTCAGGGCCCCACACCTCACCCATGAGTTTACTATGCCACTGACTATGGCCTACCCGACAACCCCCGCCACCCCTGAAGCTGCCCTGGACAATGCTTCATCACTTATCTTATGGGGTTCCCGACCTACTCAGCGAACGTGCCTTGGTGGCACAGTGGTTAAAGTGCTCAGCTGCTAACCAAAAGGTCTGTTGTTCAAACCCACCAGCAACTCCATGGGAGAAAGAGGTGGCAGTCTGCTCCCGTAAAGATTACAGCCTAGGAAACCCTATGGGGCAGTTCTACTCTGTCCTGTAGGGTCACTGTGAGTTGGAATCGACTCGACGGCACAATGCCACCTGCTCAGCTAGAATCCCACGTTCTCCCAATGGACTCCAAATCACCCCAACCTCACCCTCATGGATCTCCCCACACTGCCCCATCTTACCTCTCCTAACCCATCTCCCCACAAAACTCTATCTTGCCAATATAGACACGTGTCTTATTCCTATTAACCCCTGCCTCCCCTCAGACTTCCCTCTCGTCTCTCAGACCTCCATGTCGCCCCCCTTCGTCCCCGTCTTCCACCTGTGGGCCTCATGGTCCCCTTCTTATCTAAAGGCCTCACATCTCACTGCACAGATCCCATTGCCCCCGCACGCCTCCCCCAACTCGCCCTCATGAGCAGACCCCTCCAGTCTCTCCCCTGGTCCCCTTTCTCCAGCCCTGCCCCTGCTCTGCTTTGATCCCCACATTTAGCGGTCGCAGGCCACCCCGCGCTCCCATTCACCCCAGAGGTGCCCTGGTCCTACTCAGGGGGCTCCTGGCGAGAGGCGGTCGGGTCCGAAGCCACGCGGGCCAGTGCCACCAGCAGCGCGTAGCCATGGCTAGTAACAGACCCGGCAAGAGGATCTGATCCCGGGGACCTCCCCGCGCTTCTCGCCGGCTTGGACTCCAGCCCCGCCCCTGTCCTGCCTCTGGTCCCGCCCACCAGCGCGGCCCCGCCCCAATTCCCGCCTCCCAAGCTCTGCGAAAGCGCGGCGTTTCGGCTCCACCCCCATCCCCGAAAGAATCCCGCCCCCAAAGAGAAACCCGCCCTCGGAAGCTCCGCCTCTCAAGACTTCCGGGCGGTACAGGACTTAATAAATTTCTCCCCGGAATCTTCGTCCTCCCTCCAATTACCGGGAGAGTTGAAGGAAAGCGAATCCCCATCGCTGTTTCAGTCTCCCCCCGACAGAGCGAACCAATTAGAAAGGAGCTTATTTTACTTAGTCTCTCCCTTTTGGGGAAGCTCTCGTCGCTCGCTGATGACGCAAGCGCCCTTCTGTTTTGATAGCGTATCCTGACGCTGGGGCCGGATTTCGTCCTAGCCAATCAAGAGTCCGGTTCCGGTAGTAACCAGTGTCAGGTAGTCTGGGAAAATTGGGCTCCCCGCGCCTCACTCGTCGCCCCTTACCGGGCAGGAATCCGCCCAGACCGGGCTAGGGAGAATATTAACCTTTGGAGATTGTCTTATCCTCCCCCCCGCATTGTATAGGTGAGGGAACAGAGGGGGGAGATGGCTTGCCCAAGGTACTGACGACAGAGCCAGACCCCTCGACCTGGAGCCAGCAGGGCCAGCACTAGGATGACACTAGACACTCGCCTTGGGTTTGAAACGTTAGGGGACCCCAAAAAAGTAATCAAGATAAATAATATTTTAGTGCAATGTTTCGAAAAATAAAGTTAATGCAAAAAATCCACAATGAATAAAATAGCAATTTTTTAATAAAAACAGATCCGTGGTTACGTCTGACCCAATAAGCCTAGTGCCTCTTCCTTTTCCCCAAGCGCCTTCTTGTCAGACATTACTGCCTTGGAGAAGCCTTCTCGGTCCCCTCCCCACTCAAGCTGGGCTAGGGGCTCTTCTTGTCCCCACAGCACCCCTGTCTTACCCCATCATTACTTATTACACTGTCTTGTCTTTTTTTTTTATGATCGTTTTTATTGAAGTGTTACATACATACAGAAAAGTGCACAAATCGTAAGTGTACAGCTTGATGAATTATCACAAGTTATAACCTCGTAACCACCACCCGGATCAAGAAATAGAACATGGCCAGCATCCCAGGACCCTTTGCGCCCCCTTCTTGTCACTTCCCCTCCCTCCTTCTGAGAAGTAAGTACTATTCTGATTTCTAACAAGTCATTGTGTTTTATGCCTGTCCCACTAGGCAAACTATAGCCTGCATTTCAAATGCTGCCCGTCTCCTGCTTTTGTACAGCCTGTGACCTAAGAATGGTTTTTATATTTTTAAACGGTTAAACAAAATTTTAATATTTTGTGACACACGAAACATACATGAAATTCAAATTTCAGTGTCTATAAATAAAGTTTTATTGGAACACAGCCATGCTCTTTTTTTATACATTGTCACGGCTGCTTTCACACTATGATGGTGGAGTTGAGTAGTTATAACAGAGACCATATGGTTCACAACAGCCAAAATATTCACTGTCTGGCTCTTCACAGAAAAGGTCTGCCCACCCCTGCACTAGACTGTAAGCTCCACGAGGGTGGGGGCCTAATCTTATTCACTCTTGTATCCCCAGAGCTTCGCACAGTGCCTGGCATGTAATGGATGCTCAAAAAGAGTGTTTTAATGATCAAGTGATTGATTATCCTTTCACATGGGAGGAAGACATGGAGATTCAGGATCAGATACCCCAGAAAACCCTGCAGGGCTCCCCATTTAGAGGCAGTATGTCTGGTGGTTAAGAGCGTGGATTTTGGAGACAGACACACTGGGTTGGAATCCCTTTTCTGTCATTTTCTACCTATATGACACTGAGAAATTGAATCTCTCCAAGCCTTATCTTCACTATCTGTAACTTGGGAGAAAAAAATACTACCAAGCTGTAAAGATTCAAATGAGATGATGTAGGTAAAAAACATCTGCCCTAAGTGCTGAACACATGTTAGCTGTCATCATCCTCGTCATTATTTTCACCTCCCATATGCCTCTATAACTTAGACCTTAGGTCTCCCCAGAATCCTAGAAGGGCCTCATGAACTCTTGTCTCCTCCCCTTACCTCTCAAGCCCTGTGCCTTCCCAGCCCCCATTCTCAGAGTAACAGAAAAATCAAGCCTCAAAACAATCAAGTGACCTGTTCCCAGTGCCTGTGGGATAGCCAAGTCTGGTACCGGGGCCTCCAGCTGCTGCCCACTCCCCATCAGGCCCGATCAATAACAATGAGTCATTGGTTATATATTAGGATGGTTTTAATCACAGCCAGCACTGTGCAACTAGGGCCTTTTTCTGACAGTGCGTTTTTCATATCGAGAACTAGCAGTTTGATGAATTGCTCTCCCAGACCTAAGGGCCATTTCTGAGCTGCTAATGCATTTCAAAAGAGCAGCGCTAACATATAGCAAAGCAAGAGGCTGGGGAGGCTGCCAGGCCCTCCTGTTCCAACAGGGCTGCTTGGATCCCAAACTCTGCTCCAGGAAACAGATGGCGCACCCAAAGGGGGCAACTGAAGAGAGTTTAATGAGGGGATTTTTTACAGAAGTGTGAGCAGGGTCAAGGGAAACCAGTAACGGATGGTGAAGCACCCTTGGACTAGCAGCAGCTGAAAGCCCTGACCACTCCAGGCCCTGAAGGAGCAAAAGGAGGGAGCAGATCAGGAACATGTGAGAGCTGGAGCTGTAGGAGAGGAAGGCAGGGTGGAGTGGGTGGGGAGTGGGTGTGGGGGCAGCAGATGGCGAGTTCCCAGCAGAGCCACCCAAGACCACCCTGGAGATTGGCTCTCCAACAGGACTGGGCTTAGAGAGTCCCTTCACCTCCCATCTGACTTCTCTGCCCATCCCAAGGGCTCCCATTTGCTGGCGTTCAGCCTCTCCATCCTCATGGTCAGCCCATCCAAGGACTTCACTGAAAAACAAGGCAATTAGACGCGGAACGTGAATTGTATGTTTTAAACCAATGGTTCTCCACTGGGGGCGATTTTGCCCCTCGGGACATTTGGCAATGTCTGAAGACATTTTTGATGATCACGACTTCGGCTCCTGGCATCTAGTGGGTAGAGACCAGGGATGCTACTAAACATCCTATAATGCACAAGATAGTTCCCCAACAACAAAGACTTGTCCAGTCCAGGATGTTACTAGTGCCGAGGCAAGAAACCCTGCATTAAGGGAACTGCTCTGCCTCCTGTCTTAGCCCTGGCCTCCGTCTCGGCCCCTCCCTCAGCTTCCAGCTGGACGCTTCCTTGCACCCCCCTCATCCCAGCCTCCCAGCCTGCTCTTGGGTCTGCCCGCTCTGGGCTGAATCTTAATGGCGTCCCTCAGTTTCTTGGCCTCTCCTCTGGGCAGCATCAGTCGTTCTGGTCATATTCCTGCCTCACTCCCAGGCTTATCACTTTCTGTTGCAGACCACCCCTTCACAGCCAAGCCAGCCCTGGGCTTCAAGCCCTTCTCTTTGCACCTCACCCTCCTCTGCCTTCCTCTCTTCTCTAAGGCCATCTCTCCTCCAGACCCTGTCCCCACAGCCCTTTTCCAGCCTCAGCTATGCTCCCAGTAATTCTCTCTCCCAATTGATAGTTCTTCTAAACATAATGGAACAAAGCAGAGTTTTTTCTAGAGCTAGCCAAGGTTATACTCAAAGATATTTACACTCTTTTCCCAGCTCTGTCCCTGAGAGAATCTTTCCCCTTACTTCCCCTGGATGCTTTCCCACAAAACCCCCACACTTGTGTCTCATTGATAGTGTTGGCCTTGAGAACGGCTGAGCCAGTGTCTTGCCCCGGCTTCTCTGACTGAGAAGCTAGGATGGTCTGCCAAAAAGGTAACCTTTCCCGGGAGACTCCTTGGGGGACAGAGCCACAAAGGGTACAGGAAGAGGCAGGGGCCAACCACACCTGGGGCTCTCCTGGCCCTGGGGAGCCCTAGCCAAGGGGGCTGACCCTCTTCTCTCGGTACCCCCTCCCTCCTCCTAGCTAGCCCCGTGCACAAGGCCTCTCCTCACCCCATCACCCCCCCACCCCCATAACCCTACCAAGCTCAGATAGAGCACTGGGCATGGATTCAGCTGTTTAGTCCTGAGATGAAGCTGGCTGAGGTCCAGGCTGACCAGAACGCCCAGCTCCCTTTATTCATTCCCCCAGGCACCCCTTGAAACCCAGAAAAGCAAGCAGGGCAGGTGACCCCCAGGGCCCCGGGTATGAGCTTCCCTGTCTCATTGCCCACTCAATGCCTCCACGCTCCAGATCCACCACCAGCAGCCAGGCCACCCCCATGGGGAAAGAGCCCAGCCCTCCCGGCCCTAGGGACGTCCAGCAAAAGAAAGAGAGCTATGGTCAGGCCAGGGACGGGGCACAGGGGTGACCGTGCCCGGCCCACCCTCATTGCAGCCCCACAAGCTCAGTGATTGGAGGGGCCTGCACCATCAACTCCTCGTAGCAACTCAGAAACAGCCGGAAGCGAGCCAAGTAAGAGTCCTCGTTGTATGGCAGCTGCTTCTCCTGGAGGAACTGGGATACCACAGGTTTCACCTGGCCAAAGACAGACCCGAGGAGAGGTGCTGAGCCGGGCCTGCGGGCGGACCCTTGCCCATACGGCCCCTCCTCCTCCCGGCCCCAGCTCCTATTTTCCTGGTTCCATGATGCTCTGCAGGAGCCCAGGTGCTAAGTGTTGGAGGATTCCAGCCTCCACCTTCCCGAGGGCAAGAGAAGAAGAAGCCTCTCCTCAACATTCTCTCAGGGCTCGCAGACTGCCAGCCTCCTTAGCACAGGATATACGCCACAGCTCCCTTTTACCAAGCACCAGCTGTGTGCCTGACGCTCCAGATACATTTCTTCAGCTCACCCCCAAAACTGTCAAAAGAAGCACTGCTTACTCCCATTTTACAGATGAGAAAGCTTTCTGATTGGAGACTCGCACTGCTGCTTGACCATGCCAGTGGGGGGCCTTGGAGTTCAGGTGAGCCCTGGAGGTTACCCCCACCACCCTTGGACAGTCCCTTCATCCCAGCCCCTCCGGCCCGTCTGCCCTCTACCTTCAGGCACATGTTGTCGGAGAGCCTGGGGAAGAAGTGGTGCTCCACATGGCAGCTGATGAGTGAGTGGCCGAACGCCCAGTCCAGCAACGGCGACCGGGGCAGGTTTAGCACGCCGAGGCTCATCATGTGAATCCGTCGGGGCTTCTTGTCCAGGGAGAACATGGGCAGTCCGATGTGCTGTGAGACACACGGGGCACATCCTGGGGTTGGGCCGGGCAGCCCTGCCCCCCAACAGGCACTGACCCTGCCCTAGGCATCCTCACCTAGCACTCAGGGACCCTCTGGAGCAGGGTCAAGAACCCAGCCTCCACACACCTCCGCCACGTCCCACTGCGTGTGGGGCGATGGAGCTGCCCCTGTCTGTGCCCAGCACTGAGCCTCGCCCATCTCTGGGCCTTGCTCACCCCATCTCTACAATGAGGGCCTTGGCCCCGACACCCCTCTGATCCCGGGGTACCCTAGTGCCCAGGACTTCCCATCGCCTACTCTCAGGTCACTACAGTGTTGCTATGAATCAGGATCAACTCCAGGGCAACCGGTTTGGTTTATTGGTTTCCACATAGTAAGCAGGGGGCAGTGGTGGTTCAGTGGTAGACGTCTCGCCTTCCATGTGGGAGACCTGGGTTCAATTCCCGGCCAATGCATCTCATGCTCAGCCACCACCCATCTGTCAGTGGAGGCTTGCATGTTGCTATGATGCTGAACAGGTTGCAGTGGAGCTTCTAGACTAAGACAGACTAGGAAGAAAGGCCCGGCTATCTACTTCTGTAAATCAGCCAGTGGAACCCTATGGATCACAATGGTCTGATCTGTAAACTGATCATGGAAATGTTCAGAATCGGGCAGTGTTTGTTCCCTTGTGCATGGGGTTGCCGTGAGTCAGGGGCAGACCTGACAGCAGGTAACAACACATAGCGAGTGGGTCCTTAACAGATTTTTACTCCACGCATGAATGGTGGCCAGTGTAGAAGAGAAGTAAATTCCTTACCTGAGACCAAAGGTCTCTGTGATGGCCCACAGAGGGAAGAGTGAGTGAGTCAGTGTGTGTGTGTGTGTGTGCGCGCGCGCGCGCGCGCGCGCGCGCATGCAATGATTCCTCACGTGACCTCTTTCCCCCAACCTTGAGTCCAGTTTGCAGTTCGGCACCCTGGAGAGTGCTCCCCCTTGTCCTCCCCCATCCCCACCCCAGTGCAGGTAGGGGAGGCCTCACCTGGAAGATATTGACATGGAGGTAAGGGTGGGCCAGTAGGGATCTGGTGGCAAACATGCAGGCCAGGGCCGAGCTGGGGCTCTTAAACCCTGACACGTTCAGGAGCAGCCAGTAGTGAGAATAAAGGCCCAGGGAGATCAGGCCCAGCGTCCGCAGAGCGGTCCAGAGCTCCACCTCCCTCAGCCGCTCTGCAGAGGGGTCAGAAAGAGAGTGAGGACACCAAAGGTTATCAGTGGTTCCCAGGGGCTGGGGCGGGGGCAACGGGAGTCACTGCAGAAGGGGTACTGGGTTTCTGTTTGGGGTGATGAAAAGTTTGGAAAAGAGATAGTGGCGACTGTTGTACAACATGGTGAGCGTAACGAGTGCCATTGAATCATACACTGAAGAATGGTTAAAATAGCAATTTTTTTGTTATATATATTTTACCACAATAAAAATTAAAAAAAGAAAAAAAGTAAGCGTGAGGGGGCAGGCTGAGTTTGAGTCCATGGTAAGCTGGCTCCCTGGTGATCTAGTGTTCTAGGGGAGCCCAGTTAACCTACAGGACAACCGGAAAGCAGATTAGCCCATTTTACACATGAGGGAACACTGAGCTATGTAATGCTGTTAGCACATGGGGGCCTGGGATTTGAGCCCAGGTCTGGCTGCCCCATAGCCCTGCTGCTTCCACACTGTGATTCTGTCCCTGTGATATAGGGCGAGGTGTTTACAAAGCGCTTTTACGTCTCTGACCTCATTTCTGCTTTTGCACCGCCTTGAAGAGCAGTATGTAAGAACCTGAGGTTAAGGTACCTGCTCGTGGCCACCAGCCAGTTAAGTGGCCAAGCCAGACTTGGCCCTGGCTCTGGGGTTCTTTCCACCCTCTCTGGCTGCCTTGGAAAGTCCTTGTCCAGTCTTAGCTCGGGGCTCCAGCCTCCTCCACAGAGGGCTCCAGGAAGCCAGGAGGGGAGGGAAGGAGAGGGGGAGCCGGCTCTGGAAGTACTCACGGAGAGCCACCAGCGGGGTAATGACGGGGATTGAGAAAGGAGCGAGAAACATATAGACGTAGCGGTTGAGCCCAGGCAGCTTCCAGGTGCTGGAGTCACCCATGCCGATCACGTTGGTGTAGCCGTGGTGCATCTTGACATGGCCGTAGCTGGCATACTCTGCGGTGAAGCCTGTGCAGACCTAGAGGACAGGGCCAGAAAGGGGGCCAGGAGCCAGGGCAGGCCCAGCCAAGCAAAGCAGGACCTGGGGAGTCTCGAGAACACCCTTACCCTCCTTAGACCCTGCATTTCCAAGGCCTCCCAGCCTTATACCCCAGCTAATCAGCCTTGGCCATAGTCTCTCAGGGACCCGTGACCAGAGTGGCGGGCAGTAAAAACTCCCGCGTCTACTTGACAAAGCTTTGCAAAGCCTTTGGGGGCAGAAGGCCACGCCCCAGGTTAGCACTGTGTCCCTGACCACCCAGGCCTCTCTGTTGAGCCGGAGAGGGCTGTCACGAGGTTAGACGCACTGCAGGTACGGCTGCTGGCATTTGGCTACAATTATTTTGTGTGTTTAACTTGGAAACATCTGCACCTTCACAACTCCACTTTGCGTTCTGAGCCCACAGCAGTGAGGGAGCGTCATGGGAGGAGTCTGGGGACTAAGGAAGGCCGGCTCCTGGACAGTTGGCAAGGGCGGCACACGGGTGAGGGTACCACACGTGGGGGCTGAGAGCTAACTTCTCCCTGGGGGTGGGTGACTCTTCTCGGGCAGGGCAACTCACAAGCAGCAGCTGAGCTCTCTGACTCCAGGAGAGCAGTCATTGGGAATGCAAAAGAGGCGCTAAGGTGTTCCTTATGCAGATATATGCAAATGAAATGCAGATGTAAACGTCTTGCAATATTTTATCCAGGCCAGTTGATTTTTTTAATTGTATTGAAGATACTTCTGCCTGTTCCCAGGGGGCCGTGAAGGGCTTCCCAATGCCAGGCACTATGAACTTCTTAAGGACCGCAGAGCTACCCTTCCCCGAGTGCTTACTACCCACCAGGCTCAGTGCTCTGCACTTTACATAGGTTTCCCAAACCTAGGGGGCCATTGAAGAACCCTGGGTGGTGCAAACAGTTTGCACTTATCTACTAACTTAAAGGCTGGCAGTTTGAACCCACTCAGCAGTGCTGTGGAAGAAAGGCCTGGCAATCTGCTTCCAGAAAGATTACAGCCAAGAAAACCTTATGGAGCAGTTCTACTCTGTAACACATGTGGTTGCCATGAGTCGGAATCAACTCAATGGCAATGGGGCTTTTTTAGGGGGTCAGTGGTCTTATTCAAAATTTACAGAAGAGGAAATTGAGCGAAAGCAAGACCATGTGATCTCCCCAGGCCACACAGCTAGTAAGTGGTAGAGTAAGGATTTGAACCTAAGGCCCAGATTCCATCCAGAAGGCACGGAGTTGAGCCACTTACTACAATGAAGCACAAACCCAGGCTCTGGGTCCAGGCAGCAGGGTCAAAACCAGAAGAAGAAGAAAGATAAGGAAGACATTGTTTTCATCATCCATCTGAGGAGATATTCTCTCTTGGAACCCAATTCAAACAGAAGTGTAGCCAGAAGCGCCATCTAAAGGATGTGTAGAGCCCCATTGGGATCATCTACACTGCAGCTGTAAAATGGACACAGGAAGATATGTGTGACGGATTGAACTGTGTCCCCCAAAAATGTCTGTCAACTTGGCTAGGTCATGATTCCCAGTATTGTATGATTGTCTACCATTTTGTCACCTGTGATTTCCCTATGCACTGTAAATCCTATCGCTATGATGTAATAAGATGGACTAGCGGCAGTAATATGGATGAGGTCTACAAGATTAGACAGCGTCTTAAGCCAATCTCTTTTGAGATATAAGACAGAGAAGCAAGCAGAGAGACATGGGGACCTCATACCACCAAGAAAGCAGCATCGGGAGCAGAGCACATCCTTTGGACCTGAGGTTCCTGTGCTGAGATGCTCCCAGACCAAGGGAAGATTGATGACAAGGACCTTCCTCCAGAGCCGACAGAGAGAGAAAGCCTTCCCTGGAGCCAGCGCCCTGAATTCGGACTTCTAGCCTACTGGACTGTAAGAGAATAAACTTCTCTTTGTTAAAACCATCCACTTGTGGTATTTCTGTTATAGCAGCACTAGATAACCAAGACAATATGTCAAACAAGCAATAGTGTCCCGGCCCCTCTGGAGGTAGGGGATGTGCAGGCAAATTCTAATCTAACAGCAGCCTTTCTGTCGAGTTGGAGAAAACAGAGACAGGCCCTGTGCTCTCTGATGGGGTCATGCTGTCTACCTCTGTAACCTGGAAGGGGGACAGAATGTGGGGCAGGTTACAGAGGGTAGGTAGCTAATATGATATTGCTTCCAGCCCTGCCCGATCTGTGGGGGACTTTCCACTCGTGAGCAAGAGCCCACTGGGCCCAGGCTGCGGAGGACACGAGGTTGGTTCACATCAGCACCAGCAGCTTTGGCGACAGGCACAGGGGGACTGTAGCTGGGGTCTGTTGGGACTGTTCTCAGAGCTCAGCTGGTGTCCTCACTCACCTCCTGTTCTGTACCCATCTCAGGAGTGACCCCACCATGCCTCAGCCCCGAGCTAGAGACCTGGCGGTTGTCCTTGACTCTCCCTACTCCTCATCCTGCCCGCAGACCCTGCCCAGGTAGCCCCCAGCTGTCTCCTCTCCGGCCTCCATCCATGCAGGTCCCTACCCTCACCATCTCCCAGCTGGTCTAAACCAGCCGCCTCCTGGCCCCGAGGTCCCTGCCTAGTCTTGCCCCTCCTCCTCCAACCCAGTAGAGTGACCACTTTAAAACTCAGTTTTGACTCTGTCCCTCCCTGGCTTATAATCCTGCAAATCACTGTTTAAAAACCAAAATAAAAGAGGAAAATATTATAGGACATGTAAGAGACTAATAACTTCCATCACCTGCCAGAAGGAAAACAGGGCAGCTGTGGATGGGGGTAGGGAGACTTGTCACTGCATACACTTTGAATTTTAAATCATGTAAAGGCATTGCCTATTCAAAAAATAAATTACATTATTTCTAAACTACTGATTTTGGCCACATGACAAAGTCTTCGCTCCTCTGCTTGACTCCCGGGCCTGCCTTGCCTCTCCTTCTCCAGGGTCCCCGTTAGATGGCAGAAGTCTCGGGGTTCTGGTGGCTTCTTCGTGCACTCTGCTGTTCCCCATCTGCAGGCCTTTGTCCAGACGTCGGCTCTGTCGGAAACTGCCTTCCTGTGTCTTGGCCTGGCCAACCCTGGGCTGGCAGCAGCCCCGGAACCTCTCCCTCGAGTTTCTCAGCCTCAGCACTATTGACGTTTTGGTCTAGATCGTTCTCTGTGGTAGGGGCATCCTGTGCGTTGCAGGATGCTGAGCAGCATCCCTGGCCTCGACTCACTAGATGCCAGTAGCACCCCCTCCCCAGCTGTGGTGGCCAAATATGTCTCCAGACATTGCCAAAAGGTCTGCAGTTCAAATCCACCAGCCACTCCTTGGAAAGCCTATGGGGCAGTTCTACTCTGCCCTACAGGGTCGCTATGAGTTGGAATTGACTCGACCGCAATGGGTTGAGTTTGTTTTTTAAAATATATATACAATTATTCCAAAAGTAAAACTTTTTTAAAAAGTATATTTTGTACTGCAAATCTGAGTTTGCCCTCTACATAAATTTTAAACATAAAAAATACTACTACTATTCATAGTAGAAGTTACTCAGACCAACACCGTGCGGGGTTTGGGTGGGGACAAGAAGAAAGGAGGTTTAGACAGATGGCTCCAAGGCTTATGGCTGCACTGAACCCATCCGGGAGGAGAACAGCAGAGGGCCCTGACTAGGCTGGAGGTTCTCCACTCTCTACCACCACCACACGGGACCTGAATGAAGGCGACAACATTCCCTTGTGTGACACCCACCTCCCCAGGGCAGAGCCAGGTGGGTGCCAGTTCCTCATGGACCAGCTGTGGCTCCACGCTTCACAGCACAAACTTGACTGCAGAAGGAAGGTCTGAGCTGAGACACAATACAGAGCTGAGTAACCGGCATGGATGTTCCCTCCCACTCCGGAAGTACCCTGGTTGAGAATGACAAGGAGGATCCCAAACCCCTCTGTTCTCAGGATTAAATCCTTCCCAAGTTCAATACTTAAGCCATGCTGGCCCTGCCCACCCCACCCTGACCCCTGCCCCTGACTTACAGGGAGGTCCTCTGAATGTGGGGCCAGTAGTCCCAGTGACTGGGGGTGGGGGTGGAGGGAAAGGTGCTCTCGAAGCGTGAGGCCAGGGTTATCAGTGGGCTGGAGGAAGGTCAGGGTTATGCTACTAGGAAGAATGGAACTTTCTCCTGCAGATCAGAAATGAGTCTTCACAAATTGACAACAGCAACTCGAAAGGTTAGATAGGAAGCTTAGGGGGCAGTGAGATTATGTTAACGGCAGAGGAATAATTTGGAAGAGGAGGATGAGAATGGTTGCACAACTTGAAAAATGTAGTCAATGTCACGAATTTTACACGTAGAAATTATTGAATTGGTGTATGTTTTGCTGCGTATATTGTCAACAACAACAACAAAATAAAATAAATTATTAAAAAAAAGAAATGGTCTTCAGAGTAATATTAATCCTCGGGTATGGAGGTGTGTATGATTTTGGATACTTTAGGAAAGAAATATATTGACAAAGAATATTGAATATTCCATGGACGGCCAGAAGAGCAAACAAGTCTGTCTTGGAAGAAATACAGCCAGAGTGCTCCTTGGAAGCAAGCGAGGATGGAGAGACTTCATCTCACGTACTTAGGACATCCTATCAGGAGGGACCAGTCTCAGGAAAAGAACATCATGTTTGATAAGGTAGAAGATCAGCAAAAAAAGAGGAAGGCCATCAATGAGATGGACTGACACAGTGGCTGCAACAATGGGCTCAAACATAGCAACGATCGTGAGGATGGCACAGGACCAGGCAGTGTTTCATTCTGTTGTACACAGGGTCACTATGAGTAGGAACCGACTGGACGGCACCTCACAACAACAGGAGAGAAACAACAGCAACCTGGAATGGAAGCCTCCCCCTCCATCTCCCTACCTCCCCCAAGATCCAATGGCCAGAGAGGTGAAATTCCCTCCCCCCGGCCAGTAGACCCGGAGACAAACCTGGCAAAAGTAGGTGCCCATGAAAGCTAAAGGCGCTCAGCTGTTGCCTGAGGCTACAGAATTTGCCAAACACCAAAGGGAACCTAGGGGCTAAGACTAGACTATTTTGTAGTGAGGGTGGTGTCTCCTGAGGCTCAAGGTTTGGGGAAGAGCAGGGACAACCAATAAGAGAAGGATTAAAGTGACTCGAGGAGAAGTGGTGAGTCAAGAGTCTGGGAAGGGCCCCAGGGCACCCTCTGAGGTCCCAGGCAGCAGCTTGACCTCTGTGCAATGCAGGGAACAAGGTGGATGGGTCAGGGCCGTAGCATTCCCCCAACTACTCACCACACACACCGACTCAGTAGAGCTCTGCATAACTATGCCAACCTTTCAGTTAACAAAAACAATAACAAACCAGTAACGACAACAAATCCTACAACTGCTAACCATTTTCTTGGAGCCAATAGCATGTTCCATCCAGAGAGAAAAACGGAGCAAACACTCGTGCAGTGCCAAAGAGTCAGGACCAGCCTTCGGTTAAGGGCACTTTATCTCATTTAACCCTCACAATGGCTTCTTGGGAGTCCCTGGGTGGCGCAAACGGTTAAGCGCTCAGCTACCAGCCAAAAAAGATTGGGGGTTCAAGCCCACCCAGAGACACCTCAGAAGACATGCCTGGCGATCTGCTTCCAAAAGGTCACAGCCTCATAACATTTATCGAGCAGTTCTACTCTGCACACGTGGGGTCGCCATGAGTTGGAACTGACTCCACCGCAGCTAACAATAATAACAACGATGGCTTCACGAGGGAGGTGATACTATTGCTCCCATTTCTGAGACGAGGAAACTAACACTTAGATGTTAAGTCCTTGTCCAAGGTCAGGCAGCCAAGGGGTTGGGCTGTGCCCTTCATCACGCCCCCATCTTGCGTGCAGATGAGACAGGCACCTCCCCAGGACTCCACGTGCCCCGCCATCGCCCGCTGGGCGGGAGAGACAATCCATCTCCTCCCCCACACCGGGACCCGGACCCTCCCCAGACGGTAGCCAGAGCCACACCCCATGGGACAAAAACGAGGCCTCCCACACAGGTTGTGTAAGCGTGTGAGTGACAAACTTGTGACCCACCTCCCGGTGACTGCAGCACACCAGCTGGGTGTCACCACACGGAGGCTGAGAACCAGACCTGCCCTCCCCAGGCCCTGCGCCCCAATCCAGGCACACAGAAGGCTCACAGGCCTCTAGGATGTGACCCTTCATCAGCCAGCTTTTCTCTGGACTTTTTGTCCCCAAGTCACATGCGGGATCATCATCAACAAATATTGATGCAAGGCCGACCAAGCACTCTGCCCTGCGGCAGGAGTGGAAGGGACAAGAGGCCAGGCTGAGCTCCCGCTGGGGGCTCACTGGGACAAGGCGGTGTGCAGCAGGCAGGAGCCAGCCACGAGGCTGCCTGGGACCCACGGGGCTTGTTGCTGTGGTTCTGGCAGAGCCTCCCGTTGGCGAGCCTGGGAGAGCTTCTCAGAGGAGGTGGCTTTGGCTCCCTGCCTCTGCACAGCACATGATAGCTACTGGATTCCTCAAGCAGTCTAGGCCACGGGTTCACAAACTTCGGTGGTATCAGATTCACCTGGGGAACTTGGTAAAAAGACAATGGCCTGGGCCCTCTCCTACTTCAACAAGCCTGGAGCTCCAGGTCAATCGGCTGTACACCTAAGTTTGAGAACCACAATCAAATCATTGCATCAGTTAGTCCAAACGGCTGAAAATCCCACACACCTGCTCATCCTCAGCTGCCTCCAAGCTCCTGGCTGTCAGCTCTCAGCTCTGAATAATCCGAACAGAGCTAATCCTACTTGTGGCGGCCCAGGGACACCATGTGGCACCGCCCATGCAGATAACATAGTCCAGCCTCCTCCCTGCCTCTGCCTGGTGGGGCATCTGATCCTGACTCCAGGAGGCCTGGAGTCTGACTGGGACCAACGCCCAGGGAAGGGAAGTTTCTTGGAACTGCTCCTGAGGATTGTCACCTCTTGGTCCCTCTTGCCTTTAGCACTTTAGAAATGTGAGCTGGTGGGAGGCGAGGAGGAAGGAGGAAAAGGAGAGGCTAGAGTTCAAGGTGAGAAACACTTCTTCCTGGCCAACCGATGTGGTTTAATCTTTATAAAAAGACTTCTGCTCTATGAGGAGCGGAGTCCCTGGGCAGTGCAAATGGTTAACGTGCTCGGTGGCTGACCCAAGTTTGATGTTTGAATCCACCCAGAGGCACCTCAGAAGAAAGGCCTGGAGACCTACGTCTGAAAAAATCAGCCGGTGAAAACCCTGTGGAGCACAGTTCTACTCTAACACACATGGGGTCGCCATCAGTTGGAATCAACTTTCTGGCAACTGGTTTTATATGAGGAGTTCGCTGGTCACTAGTCCTTGCCGGAAAGGGCTGTTTCTGGTACCAGCTTTCATATCTGTGCACAAGGAACCGGGGTGGCCAGGTGAGGGTCCACTGCTGGGAGAGGAACGGAGGAGCCTGGAGACCGGTCCAGAGAGGGCAGCGTTCCTGGGCTTGCACACAGTAAGAGGGCTGAGGCAGGAAGGGTGAAGGGGCAGAACTAGGGATGGTTGAGTAGCAGGGGTCAGGAGAGGGAGGGGCCTTCAAGGGGCAGACCTGGGGAGCAGGAGCTGCTCAAGATATCTCAGCCATCGCCAGGTATCAGAGGACACATCCAGACCTAGGACTCTGTGTCACTGGGCCCACGCCCTCCCACCTGTCTGAGGTTCACATTTTGAACCCTGATTCCAAAACCAGGAGGCCCCAGTGGTTTCAGCTGTGGGCCAGGACAGCTGCAGGCCACAACCTGCCAGCCACAGATATCCCAAAAAGAAAAGGTCTAGTCGCTACATGGTCCAGTGCTGCAGAGAGGCAAGTGGGCATCTCCAGGGGAGACGTGGGTGCCCAGGCCCAACTCCCTGCCCATCATGCAGTTTGGTAGCCACGGGGTGCAACATCTCTCTCCACGCTTGGGGAGGTACACACACTCAGAGACACACCTGGTAGTCCTTACTGCACATGTGGGTACACATACCAAGTGCTGCAGCTGGGCACAGCACAGTGAGTTTGCCACACAGCACCAGCAAATGTTTTCCCCTGCTCCCGGGCTCACCTCCACGAAGAAAAGCTCCCAGATCTTGCTCCAGCGCTTGGACTCGGTGAGGGCCCTGTGCGTGGCCAGGTGGCTGCCCTTGACAGTGAGAGTGTAGTGGCAGACACCCAGGATGGTGATTCCCAGGGCAAAGAGCAGGATGTTCTCAAAGCGCAGGAACAGGAACCCTGTAGAGGGGCAGCGTCTTTCTCCAGCTTTGGGCGACCTGGGTCCCAACATCTCAGCCCCTACCTCTTCGAGCGCTCAAGTGGGCCCAGCCCTGGGGACCGCCCCAGGGAGACGGGGCCAGTCCCATATGGCTTGAGGAGGATGGGCTGGCTTTCTCCACAGGATGTGGGACCAAACAGAGCCCATTGGTTCAGCAAGGAAGCTGCACTCTGCGGGGTCTGGACTCCCTTGGGGTTTCCTTCTTGTGCCCCAGCCGAAGCAGGGATGGGGTGGAATACGGTGGGGTGCAGACCAGGAGAGGTCCGGCAGAAACCCCACCTTCCCTCCTCCTCCCATGCCCCATCCCTGGCCTTCCCCATGGAACCATCCCCCCCAGGCCACCTCCCAGGCCCAGCCTCCGGATCCCTCTCAACTTTCCCCCTCACCTCCCTCCTTTCATCAGCCCTTCTCCCTCCTTCAGTGTCGGCTCCTCTGGGAACATAGGGCAGGGCACCCCAAATCCAGACTTTCAGGTTTGGGATGTGACCTTCTTCCCTCCCTGTTGCCCGCCCCCCCGCTCTGGGCGCCACTGGCCGCAGAGCCGGTACCGCCAACGTCCCCGCCCCGCAGCCCCGCAGCCCCGCAGCCCCGCAGCCCCGCAGCCCCGCAGCCCCGCAGCCCAACCCCTTGTCGCCCTGTCCCCGCGCCCTCACCGGCCGGCACGGCGAGGAGGCTGAGCGCAAGGATGGCGCAGTCCACGCCGTGGCGCTCCCACCAAGAGCTGGCCCTCACCACGTCCTGGACCAGCGCCTCCAGCTCGCCCTGCAGCGACTCGTCCCCGCGGCGGCCCCGGAGCCCGCGCCCGGCCCGCTCCATGGGCTCCGATAAGGACTCGAGCGCGCTGTGTGTCTGCGGCGCGGCGCGCGGGGCCGGCGGGGAGCGCGGGCGGACGGGCCGGGGCGGAGTCAGCGCTCGCCTGGGGACACCCGCCCCCGCCCTGGGGTCTTGGTGCGGGCGCCCGAGCGCCTCCAGCCGCTTGCAGGGTGACCTGGGCCCCGACCTGGCGCACCGCCTGGGGGAGAGGGGCAGATGCGCCGGGTAGGGTGGGTGGGGAGACCACCCTGGGGCAAGAACCTGCCCGGGAGAGAGGGGAACCCAGTGGACACGCCTGAGAGCTTTCCCTGACCCCTCCCTGATTTCAAATAACTCCCTGGCGTTCTCTGTCCCTGCACCTCGCTTGGGTTTGTTGTAGCATTTTAAATCCCCATCCCTGAGTATTCGTTTTGTTAGCACTTAGCAGCCTCCCCTACAGATGACATAATAGTCCTTCCTTGACTGTGTCCACCCACACAGACTGGATACCAGGTGCTGACAGGGCCTGACTTTGTTAGTTTTGCTCAAGTTATCTCTTGAATACCCAGAATGGTGCTTGGCACAGAATTCACCGGAAAGTTCAAGGACTCACTCCCCCCAGGTAGGTCACCGAGGACCTCACTGACTCCAGCGTGAGCAGAGGTGACCTGTGGGGAGATGACTTCCCAGCCCCACGTTGCTGCGGTGACTTTGGGCGTGGGAAGATGTCCATGGAGAAAACACATCCAAAAGTCACCATGTCACTATTCCAGGTGGGCAGACATACTGGCTGGGATTTGCAACTCCACCCAGAGGTGGCCAGGTGTAAACTCAGGGCCTGCACCACCTGGCACTTGCCCTTGGAGACTGGGGGGCAGTGTCTGTCATAGCCCCCTCCCATCAGCCCTGCTAAAGCCTGATCTTGGTCCTCTGAGGACAAGCCACTGTCCTCTGCAAACTCCACCTTCTCTGCTTCAGAGGGTCCTTTCTCCTTTTTGTTTGTTTGACATTTTCCCCGGTTCCATATTGAGGTCCCCTTGGGAAGGAGGAGAGAGAGGGAGAAGGAGGGAGAGTCAGGGACAGTAGTGACTTCTATTCCTTCCTACCTTCCCTGGAGTTACCTTCATGAATTTTTATGAGCATTTCCCTCCTATTCCTTATACAGTAAAACCTGTGAAAGCCAGAACCTGTGGAAGGCAGAAACCTGTCAGAGAAGAAAAACTCAAATGTTTCCCACTAATAGAGAGCAACAAAAAAGTGGTAAGGGACTGCACGCTGTTAAAGGTGGAAAACTTGCGTGGCCCGGGAAAACACGGCAGTCTAGCCCAGTTCCTGCTCTCACAGGTCTCACTGTAAAAGATTTCTTCACTAGGCCTGGGTTTATAATCCAATAGCCCATTTCTGTCTCTCTCTCTCTCTCACGCACACACACACGCACACACACACGCACACACACTCTTGTCTGGCTCCTTAGTTTGCCGTTGACTTTCACACACTGACTAATTTTCATATATTCTCCACATCCTGTGAGGATGGCATCACCCCATTTTATCAGTGGAGGCCCAGAGAGGTGAACTGCTCTGCCAAGTGCCCCACATGGCAGAACTGGAACTCAAACCCAGAATATCTCCTCCAAATCTAATGATCTTTTGTCTATATCGCCTTGCCGTCGAGTAGATTCTGAGTCATAGCGACCCTGTAGGACAGAGTAGAACTGCCCCATAGGGTTTCCAAGGGGCAGCTGGTGGATTTGAACTGCCCACCTTTTGGTTAGCAGCCAAGCTCTTCACTACTGCACCACCAGGGTGGTCTACGTCAGAGAGTCTTAAAACAGAGAAGGGAGGCTTGCCCTCCCTCTCCCACCCCACCCACCAATCACTCCCTCTTAGGCGTACTAGAATTTTCAGGTAAGGGATATGTACAATTTTTAATAGTGTATTTGATGCTAATATGCAATATTATAAGTTTATAAGGAGGGAATTCCATTGCTTTTATTAGAAGAACCACAGGAGGTTGGTGGGAATCTTTCTGGGACCAAGAAGCCCCTCCCTAGGCCCTAGATGCTCCTGGCACCTAAGTGGCACTGTAAGGAGGCATATGCTGAGGTCCAAACAGGAACAGAGAGGCAACACATATTAGGGGAGCTCAGAGGAGCCAGGAATCCCTGTTGGGTGGGGCAAGCTGGCAGCTTCCCTGGAGGGAGGCAGATGTGATTTGGAATAGACTTACACTTGGGGGAGAAGAAGGGGAGCGAGGTGTTCTGAGACCTGGAGGCACAGGGCAGGAAGAGAGTTTGGGGGATTGTGGAAGGGAAGACAGGAGAGAAGGTGCCACAAATAGCAAAGTGAGAAGTTAGGGCTTGACTCTGCAGGCTTGGGGAGCCGTAGCAGGCTTTAGAGCAGGGGAGTGACTTACGTAGTCTGTCTGGTGTTCAGGAAGGTTGTCTGGCACGATGGAGGAGCCACTGAAGTGAGGGAGACCTGTCTGGAGACTGGTTCAGTACCCCCAAATAAGAGAGTACTGAGGGTATAGACAACAGGGAGAGGGGAGATGGGGGATGATGGAATAAGGAAGACTCGAACAGACAGTTCACCAAAGAAAACATACAAATGGCCAATGAACACATGGAAAGATGTCCAACGTCATTAATCTTTGCTGTTGTTAGTTGCATACCAGTCTGCTGGCTATAACTAACGGCTACCTTAAGTGTAACAGAACGAAACATTGCCCAGTCCTGCGCCATCTTCATGATCTTTGGCATGTTTGAGTCCATTTAGGGAAATTCGAATTAAAACCTCAATGAGATATCACTTCAGACCTACTAGAATGGCTACAATTAAATAGGTTGGCAATACTAAGCGTTGGCAAGGATGTGGAGCAACTTTCATCCATTGCCGGTGAGAGTGTAAAATGGTGCAACACCTTTGGAAAACACGTTGGCAGTTTCTCGTCAGGTTAGCTATGCTCTGACTCTATGACCCAGCAAGTCCACTTCCAGGTATTTACCAAAGAAGAATGAAAACACAGGTCCACGTGAAGACTTGCACTGAATGTTCATAGGAGCCTTGCTCATAACAGCCAAACTGGAAACAGCATAAAGGTCCATCAGGATAAACAAGCGGTGATACATCCATCCAATGTATACAATAAAAAGGAACATCTGTCAGAGGCAACAATACAGATGAACTGATAGTTGCCACCATAAGGGTGAATCTCACAGAAAGAAGCCAGATAGAAACACGTACTTAATGTATGATTCCATTTACATGAAGTTCAAGAACAGGCCAAACCAACACAGAGTGATGGAAATCGAATCAGGAGTTGCCTGTGGTTGAGTGAGTGGGGACATTAATTGCAAAGGGGCATCAGGAAGCTTTCTGGGGAGATGGAAATGTTCTGTATCTTGGTGGTGGTAGTGTTTGCAGGGGTGCATACGTGTGTCAAAAGCCATCAACCTGCACGCTTAAATCGGGTGGATTTTATTTAATTATGTTGCTGTTGTTGTTAGTTGCAATTGAGTTGATTTCAACTTATGGCGACCCCATCTGTAACAGAGTAGAGTGCTCCCTAGGGTTTTCTTGGCAGTAATCTTTACAGCAGCAGATGGACAGGCCTTTCTCCTGTGGTGCCTACTGGGTGAGTTTGAACCACCAATCTTTAGGTTAGCAGTCGAGCCCAAACTGCACCACCTAATCAGTCAGGTTGATTAAAGCAAAACCAAAAATGGGAAGAGTTTTGTCAAAGCTGAACCCATGCACATCCCAGGTATAGACCAACAGACATGCAAAGAAACATGCAAAAACATTCATAGCAGCAATACTCAAAACAGGCAAAAACTGGGAACAACTCAAAAGGGTCAGCAACAGTAGACTAGATGTCATGGATTGAACTGTGTCCTCCAGAAATGTCTGTCAATTTGGCTAATCCATGATTCCCAGTGTTGTATGATCGTCCACCATTTTGTCATCTGAGGTGGTTTTTCTCTGTGTTGTAAATCCTACCTCTATGATGTTAATCAGGTGGGATTAAAGGCAGTTACATTAACAAGGCAGGACTCAATCGACAGGATTAGGTTGTGTCCTAAACCAATCTCTTTTGAGATATGAAAGAGAGAAGCGAGCAGAAAGACAGGGGGACTTCATACCACCAAGAAAGTAGTGCCAGAAGAAAAGTGCCTCCTTTGGACCCAGGGTCCCTGCACTGAGAAGCTCCTAGTCCAGAGGCAGATTGATGCTAAGGACCTTCCTCCAGAGCAAAAACCTTCCCCTGGAGCTGACGCCCTGAATTTGGACTTCTAGCCTAGACTGTGAGAGAACAAATTTCTCTTTGTTAAAGCCATCCACTTGAGGTATTTTTGTTATAGCAGCATTAGATAACTAAGACACTAAATAAATAAAATGGGTATATGGATATTATGGAATACTGTAACAACAACAGCATACAATTCAAACCTAATGTTGAACAAAATAAGCAGACACAAAAGCTGACATACTTGGGATTCCATTTTTATAAATTCAAAAGCAGGCAAAAATCGTTTATGGTGCTAGAAGTTAGATGGTGGTTACCAGTCAGGGGTAAAGACTGGAAGGGGCGCAGGGGGCCTCGGGGGGCTGGTAAATGTGTCACTGCTTGATCTAGGTGCTGGTTCTGCTTAGTGTGTAGTTTGTACAATTTCATTATGCAACACTGTTATGATGTGTGTACTTTTCTGTTTGTATGTTGTTAGTCGGAATCAAGTTGATTCCAACCCACGGTAGCCCGTTTGTATCAGAGTAGGACTGCACTCCATGGAGTTTTCAAGGCTGTGAACTTTCAGAAGCAGATCACCAGGCCTGTCTACCGAGGCACCTCTGGGTCCTAAACTCCTAAGCTTTTGGCTAGTAGGCCAGTGCTTCTCCGTTTGTGCCAGCCGGGGACTCCGTATGTGTATTTTAATTGAAACATTTATTTTTGAAGTTGGTAATCCTTTTTTTAAAGGTGAACATCACCCATAAATCCCACGCAGTGAAGTGTTGGGAAGCAGGGTGGGGCTGGCCTCTAGGTTCCTTTGGCTTTGAAGGTTGGCAGCTGAGTAGGTGAGGGTAGCAGAGCATCTAACTTACCCTGCCAGCTGCCACCAGAGCCTGGGTGATCGCCCCATCCCTGTCTGTCATCCCATCCTGACCTCCCAGCCCCTGGTCCTACCACTTTCTGCTCCCAGGATTCTGCTCACAAAAGTGGGAATTAATTATCCAAGCCCGGGATGAAAGGCTCCGGTGTTTCATCGCCAGGCCAGCACCCATCACAGCTCTCTGCTTGGCTTCTCCCAGCAGGCCCTGGAGGGACCAGTGGACAGGCCCGGGCAGGTTCCTTGATCTCTGTCCACAGTGAGTTTTGGCCTGCTGCTACAACAGAGATAGCCACCCTCCGCTAGACCTGCCTCTGCCCACATCCAGCCCCTCACCTATCTGCACAACACTCAGCATATGTGAAGAGCACAGCTGGACTTCGGAGTCAGGCCAACTTACCAGCTGTGTGGCCTTGGGGGAGTTACGCAACCTCTCTGAGCTTCAGTGGCTTCATACACACTCAAAAACAGACATTTAACTGGGTGAGCAAAATATAAATAATAGTGTTACTGTTTTCTTTCTGAACCACAATAGATTGTTATGTCCCTGCCACTTCGGAGATCCCTGGCCCACAGCCTAAGGTCTAAAATGTTCAGCCTGGCCTTTGAAAGCCTCTAAGTTCCAAAACCTTCTCTGACTACTCTCCTGCTTGGGCTAGGTGACTTCTGACCTCTGGACAGGTGTTGCTCTTTCTCACCTTTATGTCTTTATTTCTCAGGTAACTCTTTCCATTCCCACCTCCTATCCAAACCCCACCCATCCTTGGGGTTCTGGTAACTTCAGCCACTCCTGCAAAGCTGTTTTCATGTATTTCATTCATTCAACCAACTTTATTGACCACCTACTATATGCCAGGACTCCAGCTGTCAGCATGCTCCCCATCCTCAGACCTCAAGATCATCCCCCAGCTAGCGTGAGACACCAGTTGTCATGCACTGCCTGGCAATGATCCCTCTCAGGCACTGATCTAGCCATAGTATTTAATGTGATCCGCTTGTCTGTGTTGTCTGCCTGTATTAGTCAGGATAAGTAACACTAGCTGTTATAACAAACACCCCCAACATCTCAGTGGCTAAACACAATGCAGGTTTATTTCTTGCTCATATCACAGTCTGATGTGGGTCCAGTGACCCTTCTCCAAGTGGTGCTTGGGGATTCAGGCTCCTTCCATCTTGGGATACCTCCATCTCCGACACAAAGCCACCACGGTTGCGGTGGGAGTGGAAGAGAGCGTGGGAAGGCGCTTTTATCTTCAGGTTTGGAAACGGCGCATGTCACTTCCATCTACACTCCATGGGCCGGCACCTACGCGCACAGCCCAACCTGACCGGAAGACACACTTGGAATCCCAGCCTTCCTGTGTGCCCAGGAAGAGGGAATAGCATAGATGACCGTCTACCCACGGCCAGCTGCACCGTGAGCTTCCTGAGGGCAAGGACCCTGTATTACCTTTCTTACATTGACCTGAACTTCCCCGCAACTTCCAGCCTGCTCTGCCCAACGCATCCTCCCAGACCTGCACACCCGGCACTGTGCCTGTGCCCCGTCGGTGCTCAGTGTTCACTAGCTAGTGGACAGCCTGGTGCAAGTTAGACGGGGGAAGAAGATGGGACTTGGCGGAGAGACAGGCCGTTACTCTTCTTCGGACAGCACTGATTCCTGGGGCCTCTCATGGAGCTTGGCACAGGTTCAAGAGGATGCAAGGGGGAGATAAAAGCAAAAAAAAAAATTAGAACACTTCACCCTCTCACTAGCATGACTATCATCAAAAAAACGGAAAATAACAAGTGTTGGCAAGGATGTGGAGAAATTGGAACCCTAGTGCATTGCTGGTGGGAATGTAAAATGGTGCAGCTGCTGTGGAAAACAGTTTGGAGGTTCGTAAGAAAGTTAAACATAGAATTGCCATATGACCTAGCAATTCCACGCAACAGACTTGAAAGCAGGGACTCAAACAGATACATGTACACCAATGTTCACTGCAGCACTGTTCACAATAGCCACAAGGTGGAAACAATCCAAGTGTCCATCAACAAGTGCGTGGATAAAAAAATGTGGCCCATCCATACACTGGAATATTATTCAGTCGTAAAGAGAAGATCTAATATGTGCTATGGCGTGGACGAACCTTGAAAAGATTATGCTGAGTCAAAGAAGCCAGATATAAAAGGACAAATAGTCTGTGATTCCATTTATATGAGAAATCTAGAATAGGCAAATTCATAGAGACTGAAAGCAGGATAGAAGTTATAAGGGCTGGAGGTGGGGGAAAAGGGAGTTATTGCTTAACGGATACAGAGTTTCTGTTTAGGGTGATGAAAAAGTTCTAGAAATAATATTGATGATTATGTATGTTGTGAATGTACTTAATGGCACTGAATTGTAGGCTTAAAAATGCTTAAAATGGTAAATTTTATTTTATGTATATTTTATCACACACAAAAAATTAGATGGTGGTGACAGCTCGGGTCCCAAACCCAAACCTTACCTGAACCTGGAGGTGGTGCCCTCCTCCCAGGCTTCAGCGGACTGAGGGGCACCCACTCAGGTAACCATGGTAGAGATGATCCAGGCTAGGCTTTCCTGGGCTCCTGGGGTTCCCCACCGTGGGGCGGCGATGATTCCACCCTTCTGCGATTCAGATCTTTATTTGTTGGGGTTCACGGGGGGTTAATTATTGTTGTGGTTGGGGTGGGGTGGGAAGGAGCCCCGCCCTGGCCCCAGGGCCTGGAGGGGGATTCTGAGAGCCAGGATGGGTAGGACCTGCAAGCTCTGGAAGCCTGGGGGATGGCCCTGAGCGGTCCAGAAAGGCACTTCCTGTGACAATTTAACCGTTTCTATGCCCCAAGCTTGGCTGGCTGGGTCTTTAACTCTTCCTTATCTCCCGCTATTCATGACAAACCCCCGCCAAATCATCAAAGCCCCAGTGAGGCCCAGCTCAGTGAGGCAATTGGCATTATTCACAGGGGTGGGGCTGGGTGAGCTGGGGGAGAAGAGGCTGACCTGTAGCTCAGATCCTGGCTGGCTGAGGGTGGACTGGCACCCCAAGATTCTACGGGGCGTCTCAGCATCCACCTCACCTCTGAGGACCCTACCCCTGGCCTCCAGTGGCTCAGGCTGCCAGCCACCAGCTCTACAAGGATGGAGTGAGGTTAGTGATGGACAGAGAGGCAGGCCTGGGAGTGAGAGGAGTGAGGGAAAGGGGGCCGGCTGGAGACTGGAGGTGCTCTGTCAGCCTGTCTCCCCCTTGCAAGCCAGGAAACTGAGACCTAGGGTACCTCTCCAAGTGGCATAGCAAGTTAGGTCCTTGAAAGCCCAAGGTAGGAGCTGTTAGCAAGCCCAGCTCCCTACTGGGGAGGTTTTCCAGGGGTCCCCTAGTCCGTCAATGGGTCTGGTCAGCACCACAGACCAGGCATGTGGATTAGCCTAGAGGGTGCGTGTCGGGCCTGGGGAGGTCAGGGCCGGGACTGGAGGGAGAGCGAGAGCCATGGTTCTTACACAGTGGGTAGTGTCTACAGCGGGGGCTCTGGACTCTGACACACCTGGTCCCAGTCCTTACTGTGTGACCATAGGAAGGTTGCTTAACCTCTCTGAGCCTCAGTTTCCTGAGGGGGTGATTTGGAGTGGATGAGGGGGATGCCACCTACCTTACAGGGTTGCTGGAGAGAGTGGGTGAGGTAGGTCCTGTACCGTAAACACCAGTGGGCCGCCACAGGGAAGGGCTCGCAGTAGACACTGTCATTGCTGATTCCATCCTTTGTGCTATTGTAATGATGGCATTGCTGCTATGCTGAATCGTTTATATTATCTCATACTAGCATAGAATGGTATTGATAATAAATGGCTTCCGTTTCCAGCGAGAGAGGTCTGGAATGCTCAGTCCAGTTCCCTCCCCTCCTTGCCCATGTTGTCCCCTGTGTGTGTGTGTGTGTGTGTGTGTGTGTGTGTGTGTGTGTGTTTAGAAGGCTGGGGGCCCAGTGTTCCCCCTCCCAGTTCTGCTCTGCAGTACTGAACAGGCCCTGCAGAAGGTGCGGTGAGAACGGAGAGGGGGAGTTTGGGGACAAGCCAGAATGTCAGTTCGGCCACCGGTTCCCACGTGCTCAGGCCTGGCTGATGCCCAGAGAGCCCTCCTCCATCCCCAGCTTCCTGTCTACAGGTTCCTTGAGCTGTTCCTCCACCTAATGGGTGTCAGGCCTGAGCTAAGCCCTTTACTTGAACCCTCACAACTGCCTTGCAGTGGAGGGTATAATTATCCCCATTTACAGATGGAAACACTGAGGCTTGGAGAGGCAAATTAGCCTCCTCAGTAAATGGCAGATCTGTGTCTCCAAAGTGAACACCCTAGCCCGGGGGAAGCCCCACCCAGGCTCCTTGGTATACTGGGTGCCCAAAGATTGAGATTTGCCTCTACCCTACCCCTGCCTTCTGGGGCACTAGGCCTTCTCTGCCCCCCACTGCCCTCCCTCTCCCCTAGGCTCAAGCCCTCAACAACGCAGTTATCCAGAGAAAGGGTAGGGAAAACCCTGTGGAAATCCTCAGTTCAGGGTGAGGGATGGGGCTAGGGGAGGTAGGGTGGCTGGGAGCTTTGTCCTTCCAGGCTGAAGGAGCTGGGGCCCTAAAATAGATAGTAAGCAAGAGAGGGAATCTAAAATTAGACTCCAGACAGACTCTGGGGCACTCGGGAGCACTAAAAAGACAGATGAGCAAAACCACGGAGACCCACACGCACTCAGCTCACACGTGGACATCACCTCCCAGGAAAGTTCTGGGCCCCACTAAGCCTCCTCCCAAGTTCACACAGATACACGTCAGCGTCCTCTCCCAGGCACTCGGAGTCCACATCTCATACACACACACACACACACACATGCACGCACGCACACCTGTACACGGGCTCGCAGGTACACACGCTGGCACAGGAAGGCTGCAAGGGAGGAACAGCTGTGTAGGAAGAGGAGTCCCACTTATCCCACCCCCCCAAATCCTGCCAGCTGAGCCCCTGCTTCTGGCCTGGACAGCCCCAGGCTCAGGGGATGAGGCTGAGAGGCCCCTGCGCCAGGTGAGAGCCTGGGGAGGTAGCTCACTGAAGGGGGTGAAGGGAGGCGGGGACGGCCAGAAGTTTGAAACCTGGCTTTAAATCCCACGACCCCGGCATTTCTGTGGTCAGGGGTTTGGAGAAATTACTTAACCTTCCTGAGGCCTGTTTCATGATCTGTGGGATGGGGCAGTGCCGCTCTTCTCCAGGGTTTGCTGTAGTGGGTATTTAGAAGGTGCTCGATGCAGGTCCTGAGAAGGCAGCTGGCAGCAAACAGCCGTAAGAATGGGCAGACTAGACATCCTGGCAGATCATCTGGCCCCCCTGAACCTTGGCTGCAGCACCTATAAAATGGGACTAGTAAATAATGACTTCCTGCCCTTGGTGGCAAAGTGGTTAAGAGCTACTGCTGCTAACCAAAAAGTCGGCAGTTCGAATCCACCAGGTGCTCATTGGAAACCCTAAGGGCAGTTCTACTCCGTCCTATAGAGTTGCTATGAGTTGGAATCAACTCGACAGCAATGGGTTTGCTTTTTTTTTTTTTTGGCCGTTGCCCACCTCAGACGACGCTGTGAAGCTCAGAGAGATAATGGTGTGAGGGATGGTTTGGATTCTGTGGGATTGAGAGAGCCTCGTGGGGCAGTGAGGGTGGGGTCAGGGCCCAACTCGGCCAGCAGCTGCTATTGTCCCCACAGCCTCACCATCTCCAAGAACACCCTACCCCCGCCAGGGCGCCCAACAACTGCTGTTCAGAATCCCGTGGAGAAATTTCCCCGGAGTATGCATTTCCAGAGTTGGGGGTGGTCCCCACTGCCCGCAGCCTCACAGCACTGGACTGTGGGGTCCCCTCAGGGCCCAGGCGGACTAGAGAAGCCAGAGCGAGTGAGGGCGTACAGCTTCACAGGCCTTTCTGGGGCTCATCATGTTGGCTCTCCCCGGCCTTTCTCTACAGACCAGGAGTTGGGGGCTCTGAATGGGCTTGCCAGAAGTTTCCCCACCTCAGGCTCCAAATCCCATCAGGCTTAGTCATTCAGCAATAACAACTTGGGGAGGACTCACAGTGGTGAAAGGCAGCCTGACCTGGCGCAGCTATGGACAGTCAGATAGAGCAGAGGCAAGCCCTGTTTGTTCTCTTACCTGCTGTGTGAGCCTGAGAATGACCAAGTGCTCTTGGGCCTCAGTTTCCTCCTCTGTCAGATGGGTTTAACAATTCCCAGGTACTGGGCTATCATAACGATTAACTGAAATCACACATGTAAAGTCCCGACGTACACAGTAGGTGCTTGATAAATGCTCAGTCAGGATGAGACACGGCACAGTTGGGAGCCAGCCTGTCTGGGCTTGAGTTCTGGCTCCACCAAATCCCAGCCGTTTGACCCTGGGTATGTTTTATAGACAGCTCTGTGCCTCAGTTTCCTCATTTGACAAACAGAAATCAGCAAAGTGCCTGTCTCCCCGAGTTGTGCCAGGGCTGACTGATGCAGATGGAGTGCCTGGGCCATGGTCAGTGTTGCTCCTACTATTGACAGGAGATGAGGCTTGGCTTGGAGACCTGTGCTGCACACCTACTATGTACCGGGCAAAGTTACATTATTAAGTCCCCCAGTAGCCCCATAAGGAAGGCATCTTTAGCTCCAATTTATGGAAAAGGAAATGCAGAGAGGCTACTGACTTGACCAAGGTCATGGCTATGCAGCAGCAGATGTGGGATTTGAACCCAGGTCTTCAGACTCCGTGTTCCCTGCAGAGTCCAGGTATTCCTTTAGTGGTTTTCAAACTGTGTTCCTGGGAACCCAAGAGTCCCCTGGAGGTGCAACAGAAAGAGGGGGAGGGAAAGAGAGGCTGACTGGGAGACCCTGTGTAACAGGGAGAATGGGACAGAGAAAGACCAAGAGACTGGAAGACAGAGAGGGAGGCAGGGAGAAGTGGACTCTCTGGTTGGGATGAAATGCTTCTGCATACTTCAGACCCCACTTCGGCAGCCTCCCAAACCACCCCTCCAGTATCCTGCCCAGTGGTCCCTTGACCCATCCTGCCTCTCCCAGCCCAGCCCCCCAGAGCAGGTGGGTACTGTAGGTCAGACTGTGCTTGGACTGCTGAAGCTGCCAGCAGGCCCCCACCTGCCTCAGACTGACCCTGGCACATGCCCGGGTCAAGGGAACCCAAGATCAAAGACAGCATCCACCAAGGGTCACAGATGCTTGGTGGGGAGTGGGGCAATACATCACTGTGGTTTGGCATATGAGTTTCCGTACCAGGGAAATCTGGTTTTCAGGCCTGGTTCATCCACCTACCAGCTCTGTGATCTTGGGCAAGTCACATCACTGCTCTGAGCCTCCATTTTCCCCTGTGAAATGAAGATGATGATGATAATGTAGGACTTCCTTTATAGGGTTGTGGTTCTATTCTGTGTTCTATTATTAACAGAAGAGCCTGCCACCTTGTAAGCTCTCAATAAATTGAGAGTAAAAACTTGAAAGCTTGCCCCTGGGGAGAAGGGTGGTCCAAGGGACCCAGGTCAGGGAGCCAGAAAGCCCAAATTTTCCTTCACTTACTGGTTGTGGGACCTTAGGAGTGTCATGTAAGCTCTCTGATTCTCAGTCTCTTCACCTACGGAGTAGGACTCAAAATCCCTCGCTTCCTTACCTCACAGGAGGTGGGGAAAGCTTTCGATAAACTCCAACATTCAGGTAGTGGTGTAATGGGGCCCCAGAGGGCAGTGGTCTGCTACTCCCTCTCCAGAAAAGTTGCTCAGCTCTTTGGATACCCCAGGAACCCCAGGACCTCCTGGGGGGGTGCTCCCACTGGACAGTGGTCCACCTTTGGTTAGCTGACCCCATGCTCCATTCCTTGGCCACTGGCTGGATTGTCAATGCCCCCTGCTGGTCAGAAGGGAATGTCTCCAGTGATGTCTGCATGAGTGAGGCGGTGGTTCTCCCTCACATGGGGATCCCAAGACCTGACTGGCCAGGACTCATCTACTGGGCCAGGCCAACTGCAAATGCAAGGAGTGCCCCATGGGCCAATGATAACCATGATCATTGTTAACTGATGTGTATGAAATATCAGGCAGTGTGCCAAGAGTTTTCTGTACATCATTTCCTGTTCCTAGTAATCTATGGGGTTGATGCTTTTGTTAAAATACCCATTTTACAGCTGAGGAAATAGACTGAGAGGCTGGATAACTTACCCCAGGCCACACAGCTGGAAAAGGGTGGAACGAGTTTTACTACCTAGGTCTGGCTGCCCCCTGGCCCTGCCACCTCCCATACAACCCTGACTTTTCTCGGAGGAGGTGACACAGATGTGCGCTGCAGGAGGACAAGGATGCAGTCTGCTCCGTAAAGATCACAGCCTTGGAAACTCTATGGGACAGTTCTACTCTGTCCTGCAGGGGTCACTACCAACTCAACAGCAATGGGTCCGTATTATCACCAGATGCTAATACTCAAAAGGTGAAGAACTATCGATTATTCTAAACTTTTAAGACTTCCCTAGCCTCGATCTAAATTTTTAGGGGGATGAGTGGAGGAAGTTGAGTCCCCACCGTGTAAAATCTTCTTCCCTTCGCTTGTGTTTAACATCCGCTCTCGCTTCCTGGAGTCACACCTGTTATTCCTGATGCCCCAGGCTTCCACCCTCGAGTTACGTTGATCCATCGGAGATCCTGCCCCTGCTGTTTCCAGTTAGTCTCTGCGTCCACGCTGAAGCTCCAGTCTACTCGCTGTCTCGTCATTGCGGGTCCTCACCCCTATGTCCTTCCCTGGACCGGCGCGGAGACCGGCGGGTCTTTAGTGAGGTAGGTGCAATAACCATGATGGCCAGCAGGGGTCGCAGGACCGAAGAACCCCGTGGAGCGGCGGAGGGCTCCTGTCTTGTCGACCCTTGGCAGCCTGGGGGCGAGGAAAACGTGGCAGCAGTCGGGAAGCCTGTGTTCTGCGTCTAGACCTGCTTGGACAAGTCCCTTTCTGTCTGTGGGCCTCGGTTTTCCCATCTGTAAAGTGGAGGGAGGTGAGCCAAGAGTTCTTAGATGGTTGCTAGGCACCCTTCCTGAACTGACAGATGGGAAGCTTTCTGATGGATGCTTCCAGGAGGGGGCTGTCTTGAACACCCCGTGGCAGACTGCCACATCTTTCTCCCACAGACCCACTGGTGGATTTGAACCACCAACCTTCCTGTTAGCAGCTGAGTGCTTAACCACTACAACACCAGGGCTCTTCCCCTGGGAGAGAGGGGATTCTAAATCGGGCTGCCCCAAAGAGCTCTCTGGGAATAGGGCACTGGTGAAGACCACGGGGAAATAGAAACCACCTGAAGGCTTCCCAAGGCCAAGTCAGAGCCTTGAGAACAGGACTCATGGGCCCAGGGCCTGCGTGACAGGGTGGCAGCCTCCGGGGTGTGGCAGGTCCGGGGCTTCTGCCCAGCCCTGGGGAAGCCCAGGCCGACAGGCCCTGGGTAGGAAGGGAGAAGGCGCCACCCTGCCCTCAGCACTGCAGGCCCAGGAACAAGGCTGGAGCCTGGACCACCCTCCTGGCTCAGCTGTTGGGGATGCACCTGTCCCGGTTCTTAATGCTCCCCTCCATCAGCTCCGAGTTCCGGGCTAGCCTACCTGGGCTGAAGGCCCAGGGATGAGAGGAGGCCCTGCAGAGATGCACGTGGGGGAGGAGGGTCCTGCCCAAGAGCCCATCCCAGGCTCCAGGACCCCCTCCAAGGAGCAGGCCACGTCCTCAGAGGCCCAGAGAAGACTGCCCCCACCCCCGCCCTCTTGCTCTCTTCCCCCTCCCCCTCCTACCCCCAAGCGATTAAAGAACAAGACGCAGGCACGACAATGATGTAGAATGTTCTCTGCAAACATTATAATGAGGCTGAGGGAGGCATTGGTTGTACAGTGGCAGGGATGGCAGAGCCTCCCACCGCAGTGGGAAGAGCTGGGAGGGGCTGAGCAGGAGGGAAAGGGCAGCACCTGGGGCACCGAGAAAGACGATCGGCACTTGGGGTGGCCCCAGGCCCAGGGAGCAGGAAGAAGGACTGGGTAGGCTCTGGGTGGCAGTGGCGGGCAGCCAAGCCCTCTGGGAGTGTGTATAAGGAGGGCAAATCCCCAAAACAGGCATGTCCCGGAGGGCCCCCCAGACAGGCCAGAGGGAGGTCTGTGGTGTTCCTTGGGGGTTCTCTCTTACCTGCCCCCGCCAAGGGGGCCCAGGAGGGGCAGGGCTGAGATGGCGCTCCCAGTGGAGGCTCCCCCCCAGGCTGCTGGACGAGGAGGAAGGGTACGTCTGCGTGGGGGTGTGACATGCACACGCGTGTGTGCAGAGCCCTGAGTGATTCTCCCACCTCAGTCTGACTGGACACATCCGTCCCCCTGCTGTCACCGCCATCACAGAGCAGGATGCGGAGTGAGCTCATGCTTAACCACTATCCACACAGATCCAGCCCCTTCCCCACCATGAGGGAAACTTGCCAGCCGCTCCCAGCACAGACACTCACACACCCTGCCTCGGGGCCTGGGGACAACCAGCGGCCACGGTGACCCTCATCCTCAGGCCCCTCCATGTCCACCTCACAGGATTTGCCAGACACCCAGCCATGCCCAGCTTCTGCCTGTCTGGGGCATGGGTGACACTGAGGCACTTGGTAGGGACCTTTCTCTAACCCAGACTGCCCGCCAGGCCCCGGGGCCATAATACTGCAGACTTGCTGCTCCAGCACCTGGCGTCTGTCGCCGTGGCCCCTGGAGTACCTGGGGGGCCGGGCTGTACAACCGAGGAGGGGGCTGGAGGAAGACAGGGTGGGGAGAGCCGGGCAGGGCACCTGTCACCACCTCCCCGCCGCCCCCATCTGGCACTCCAGCTCCGGCCATGGTCCACGGGTAAAGGAGAAGAGGCCGCCAACCTCAGGGACTGCAGGCGGCATTTGGCTGAAGAGTCTGGCCAACCGCCTCTCTAGGGGTGTATGCGTGCGGGGAGGGGGTGGGAGACAGTCCAAACGCTTCCCTTCACGAAGCATAGTAAGAGAGCAAGCCCCCAGCCTAAGCACAGGAGAGAGCGGCCTGCCTGGGACGGTGGTGGGAAGAGATGGTGGCGCTGGACAAGCAGTGCCCTTCTGGCTCCCCTGGCCATGGCCCCACCCTCTGGGGCTGGCCTTCCACAGAGCCAGATGTCTCTTTTGGCTGCTCAGATGGGGGCGCCTCAAGCCTCTGTCAGAGGGGACCAGCCCCTTCAGGGCCTCCTGGACTCCTCAGAACTGATGTTCTGACTCTCGGGGTGCCTGCAGGCCTCGCCTCTGCTGCAGGGTGTGACAGGCTTTCAAGGGTGGTGACGCAGCAGCCCTTGCTCCCGGGGAAGGGGTCTGTGGGGCTGCAGGGCTGGCGATGGGGGGGACCTGGCAGCCCCACCATGGGATGTGGCAACTCACAATTCATTTGGTCTGGGGGAGGAGCCCCCGGTTATCTGTGGAGACAAAGACAGAAACAGAGAGCTCAGATGAGGGCCTTCGAAGACGTCCTTTCAGACCAGGGCCAGGCATTTTGCTGACTTAGCCTCACCTCCCTGGGCAGGTGAGGAGGGTCTCCTGTGCCCAAACTCTAACCCAGACTGCCCCCCTACACCCACCCCTGCCCCAGCCCCCCAAGGGCAGAAGCTGCAGACATCAAAGGGGGAAGCAGTGCTTGCTGGGCTTTGTGGGGTGCCATGAGGGACAAGGGGCAGGGACCGGCCAACAGCACAGCCAGTGACCGGCCTTGGTTCACCTTCGATAGCTTTGCAATGTGACAGCTCTGCCCTCAAGACTTCCATTGGCCCTGTTGGGGGCACTTGGTCATGTCTCTCATTGTAGAGTTCAGGGCTAGCAGGTTAAACATGTGCCTTGAAGGCTTGGGCCGTTGGGGTGACCTGCTGGCTGTCACCCTCACATCTCATGATAGGCACCCTGTCCCAGGCCTTAGAGCTACAGCAGCCCAGGGATCAGTCCTGGCTCTGCTCTGAGCAGTGGCAGGAGGTTGGGGTGAGTTGTTCTAACCCTCGGAGCCTCTGCTTCCTCATCTGTAGAATGGGGATGGTACAGTCCACCTCACTGGGGAGTTGGGGAGCATTAAATGAGACAACACACCCAAAGGCCTAGCCTAGCACCCGGGAGGTGGGAGGACTCAAAACCATCCTGGGAATCATGACCATGACGACCGTATCTCGTGGAAACCAAGGTGCCCATTTTTCCACGTTTTGATATCTCCAAAGTTGAGGCGCGTTTTGCAGTCGCTGTGATAAGAAAGCCCCGTGTCATGATTAAACTGGCAGCTTCTTTTCTGCCTTGGTAGTACGTCAAATAGTGGGGCGTCTTGAAACTGATGGCAACTTAGATTTTATGAAATACGGTCTTACGGTCCCTCCGCGTTCTCCCCTACCCCAGCGGAAGTCTCCAGCACTCACAGCTCGGTGTCCTCCAGGGCAGGCGGACGCTCCAGCGCCTGCAGCCGCCGCCGCACGGCCCCCATGATCTTCTTGCGCGGCCCCAGCGGGATGCTGACGCTGCGCAGGTCGAGGTCTGAGCACAGCATCAGCGCCTCCAAGTCGATCTTCTCCTGCCGCAGGAGAGCTGCGAAGTCCTCCATGTGCAGCGAGGCCAGGAAGGTCTCCAGCGGGCTGGTCTCGGGCTCCAGGTCCTCATCCAGGCCCAAGTCCACCTCGTCCCAGGGCAGCTCCTCCGCGCAGCTGCGATCCTGCAGGCTGTTGGCACTGCCCAGGCTGTCGCCGTCCAGGCTGGGGGGGCTCTGCAGCCGAGCCCGCGGCGGCCCCACCCCGTCCAGGCCACCGTCCTCGCGGCCCAGGCCCGGCAGCCCGCTGCTCAGGTAGTTCCTGCGGAACACCATAGTGCCCAGGCCCGGCCGGGTAAACAGGGAGTCGTGGCCCGAGTCGGTGCTGACTTCCGAGTGGGCTGGCTCAGCCGCCAGCGTGGCACGGGAGACGCTGTCGTCGTCCGAGAGGAACATGTCCCGGAGCGGGGAGCGGCCCCACTCCTTGGGGTTGGCGTAGGTGCCCTGGCGCACGAACATCACGTCGCTGCCCAGCTGCAGGCCCGAGAGCGAGCGCACGCTCTTGCGGCCGTCCTCGGAGATCTTGAAGGTGCCCTCGCCGCCCTGCTTGCGCCGCTCCAGCTTGCGCTGGATCTTGGTCTTGCCCCGGGCGGTGCTGTGCAGCGTGGCCTGCGAGTAGGGCAGGTGGCTGCTCAGCGCCAGGTGCTGCAGCCGACGGCTCAAGGTGCTGGAGGTGAGGCTGGAGAAGCTGAGCGTGTCGGAGCGCTCGGCCAGCTCGCGCCGGTAGCGTCGCTCCATGCGCTCGTGGTGCTTGCGCTGCATCTTGGCGCACTCGCGAATGCGCCGCTCCGCCTCCCGGAAAGCCTTGTCCTTGAGCTTGCCCACCAGCTTGGGGTTGAGGCTGCTCTGCTTGGCCGCGATGGAGTCCAGGTAGCGCACACACTCCATGTGGCCCTTCATGGCGGCCATGTCCAGTGGTGTGTGGTAGTCGTTGTCCAGGCACCAGATGTTGGCCCCAAAGGACACCAGGAAGGACAGGCAGTGCAGGTGGCCATTGGAGGCTGCCAGGTGCAGGGGCGTGTTGCCCCAGATGTCACGCTTGTCAGGGTCGCCCCTGCCGGGAGCATACGTGGGGAGGGAGGGGTGATGAGCCACTAAGCGGACGGGCAGGCAGCTGCCAAGTGCCGAGGGGGTGCGAGGGGCGCCCAGCCTCGTTGAGTCTCTGCACAGCCCTGCCAGGTCCCAAAGGGCCCGTGGGGGGCTGAGACCTCTCCTCTGACTCCAGGGGACATGCAGGCTGGCGCCACCAAAAGGAGCAAGTGAGTGCAGGGGAAAAATGGCCCCAGGCACCCGAGGGGCGGGGCTCTGGAGAAGGCGGGGCTAGGGCGGGGCCTTCCCCACGAGAACTGAGGGCTGGGAATCTGAGGGGATAAATATTTGATGCCCAGAAAGAAAGGAGTGAATTATTCATGGGGCCCAGTGGGGAGCTGGCCCAGAGAGGTGGGCCAGGGCCGAGTTTGGGCCTCAGGCAGGTGTGGTGGTGAGTGTGGCTGTGTGTGCGGGCTTAGTGTACCAGCTGAGGAGAGGTGGTGTGTGCTGGGCCTGAGCTCCAGCTGAGTGTGTCCGGGTGTGTGCTTGCACGTCTCGGCCCAGCCACGTCGGCAGGGAGCGGGGCCAGGCCTGGCAAGCCCGAGTGTGAGAGCAGGTGTCGGGTCTTGGCCTGGGCCAGGAGGGGAGTGTGGGGGCAGCCAGGACTGGAGGGGAGGAGGTGGAAGTCGGGTGCCCAGGCCGGCTGCTCTCCTCTCCCAGGGCTGCCCCATCTGTGGGAGCTCTGTGAGGCTGGCTGGGATGGGCTGTCCGGAGGTCCCCACCCAGCCCCCTCCAGCCCCCTCCACACCAGACCGTCCCCCTGGGGCAGACTCCAGCTGGTGGGAACCAGGGAGCTGGGTATCCTCCTCAGCTCTCGCCTCCCTCAGGGGCCTAGCTCAGCACTCCCCCTGCCCACACTAATGAGGCCACAAGGCCAACCCCTAGGGCCGGGAAGAATCACTCCCTTGTCTCAGCAGCTCCCCCACACCTCCCCTCTGCTTCCCCTCCTTGGCCCCGAATTCTGCCGGATGATATGGGGAGGGGCTGCTGGCATCAGTCCCACACCCCATCAAACACCAGTCCTTGCCCTCTGTAGGGGTTGGGGGGATTGGTGCACCAAGGGGGAACCCTCTTCCCCTCCTCCTGTGGGTCTCTCTGAGGGGAGTCAGAGTGTCAGGGGTCACTGTGGGTCCTCCTGGGGTGGAGGGGGCCAGCCTTGGCCGTTTCGAACATGCTCGGCCACCTGTCTTAGGTGGGCAGGGCCCAGGAGCAGCCATGGAGGAAAATGAGTAGGGCCAGAAGGGTTTCTCACCCACCACAGCCTCAGGCCTCAGGCCAAGACCCGCCACCAGGACCAGCCCTGCACTCCACATTCACCTTCCATCCCTTCCACTCCTTTTCCCTTTCCAGGCCGCCTCTCGTGTCCAGTTCAACCTGACTTCTCTTGACAAAGCTGCTGGGGTGGGGGAGTTGTTCACAGTGCGATTTAGCCCAGGGGAGCCCTCTTCCTGAGCCCTGGACCCTGCATTCCTCAGCTGCGACCTCTGAACCCCTTCCTTGGCCCTGACCCACCCTCCCCCCCAGGACAACTCCAAAGGGAGAGTGAGGAGAGCGAAGCCCCTTCAAGGGCCACAGGCACCCCAGTGCTGGGCTCTGGCCTGCAGTGGGGGAGGGGCACAGAGGGAGTTAATGGGGTGGTGGAACCTGTGACATTTGGTGTTGTGGACAGAGCCCATAAATCCCAGGAATGAGCAGGGTGAGGGAGAGAACTGCGGGAGTCCCAGCCTGGGGAGGTGTGGGTGCTGGATGCTGGGGATGATGGGTACAGCAGCCCCTCCTTTCCTAGCCCCCACCTCCGCCTTCTGCCAGGGTTTCCCACAGCCCTTCACTCTTGCTTACAGTGGCCCCACCCAGGAGACCTCTCCCACCTTCCCCTCTCTCTGCAGCCCCCAATCATGGCACCCCCAAATCTGACTCTCCCCTTCTAGCCCCACTTTCCAGTCACAAGTGTCACTCTCTCAGCTTCTCTCTCCCTCCCCCCACACCTGCCAGGCCCCAAAGTCCCCTTTTTAGGGACTTTTTGGGGAGAGGGGGGCCCACAGGAAGAGGGAAGGTGCCCTGGGGCCTGGGGGCGTCTCAGTGGCCTGGAGCATAGGGAGACTCGTTCCCCTTCCACGCGGGCTGGCGGCGACTCACCCTCGGCTCACGATGAGGCGCAGCGACTCCAGGTTGCCATGGTAGGCAGCCCAGAGGGTGGGGGTCATGCCATCCTCATCGGGGGCGTTCAGCTCCTTCCGGGTGGCTTCCTTGAGGAGCTCCAGGTAGCCGTCGCGGGCCGCCCGGTGGTACTGGTCATTCATGGTGCCCGGCCTGGACGGGGCGGGCAGGGGGCACGGGGCAAGGCCCCCAGCGGGGGAGGGCAGCGGGGTCAGGGCTGGGACATGGGGCTGGGGGAGGGGGCCGGGCAGGGGCCGGGGCGGCCAGCCCCCGCTGCCGCAGACAGAGGGTGCGGAGCGCCAGAGCCGCTGCTGTGGGACACCTGAGCCGCTCACCCGGCTCGGGGGTGGGGGGAGCTCCGCCGCCCAGGGCGCCGCCCCCGGCTTCCCCTGGGTCCTAAACCTCCGGGTCCTGGAGTGCAGGGTGACCACGAGAGGCCCTGTCCTCTCTCCAAAAGTACCTGCCCCTGTACCCCCTGGTGACAGTCAGGGGCATTCTAGGGACAGTCCGGGTTCGTCCTCTCTGGAGCTCCGGCACTGAGACTCCCGACTTCTCCACCAGTCACAGGAGCCACCAAGGGCTGGGGAGGGGTGCCTCAGAACAGGGTGGAGGGGCAGTCCTGAACCCCGGACAGTGGATGTAAGAGGGGCATGAGGACAGGCCTCGAGACATCGAGTAGAACGCGGCTGGCTGGCCGCCACGCCCTCGCGCGGGGTAGGTTTGCCGCATTCCAGCAGGGGGCGCCAGAGGGCCAGGTGCCGACTCTGCAAGCAGCGTGGGAATCTTGTACCCTAGCCGCGACCTCGCAGCATCCCGCGGAGCAGGGAGCCGGGTTAGAGGGAGAAGGAACTTCGGTCGCTGAGAGGGCCGTCGGGGAAAGAGGGACTGGGGTCCCGATCTCAGGGCAGCGGCGGAGAAGAGGTCTAGGGCGCGCCGGGGCTGGGAGGGTGTCTTGGGTCGCCTGCGAGCCCTCAGGGCGTCTCCGGGGCATCAGCCATCGTGGCTCCGGGGGCCGGGACTGCGGAGGGCGCCGGGGCGCGGTGCCCTCTCGGGGGCGCGGTGCCCTCCGGGTGCTGCAGTGCGGGCCTCGCCCCAGCCTGGCCGCGCCGGGGTGCCGGGCGGCGGGGGAGGGGGCGCCCCTTGACAGATAAATATAAATCTTGCCTTATCTGGCTCCCGCGCGCTTCCCTAAATTCAGCTCGCAGAGATGGATCATGTGAGCGGGACTGAGAGGTTTATGGAGCCGAGCTGCCCGTCCGCCCGCCGCTGTAAATCACCCTGCCCTCCCGAATATAAAGCGCCCCGCCAGCCCCCCGTGGGGAAGAGGACAGGCTCGCCATCCCCCGGCCCCCAGCTCAGTCCGGGTTCCCGGGCCAGCCAGGTGGGTGCCCTGGGCCAGAAGGCGGCAGACTTGGGGATGGGGACCTGGGAAATGAGAGGGACTCCGAGAAGCCACCACTCCTTTCCTCCCGTCGAGGAGGTCGGCCTGCTCCGGCTTTTTCCTTCCCCTTCCCCGGGGCCTCCATCACCAAGACCCTCAGCCCCCACCCTCGGGCTCGGAACTCTCTGGTCCCCAAATCTGAGGACTAGATGGGGGAAGGAGAGCCGTCGGGTTGACCTGGGATCCTGTCCATTCCTCCCCCATAGTGACCCCTCCAACCTTCTCCAGTCGCCCCCACCATGTCCGAGGAGCTGGCTCCAGGCCCCAAGGAGAGCCCGCCAGCCCCGCGGCCCGGCCCCCGCGAGGTGTGGAAGAAGGGCGGCCGCCTGCTGTCGGTGCTGCTGGCGGTGAACGTGCTGCTCCTCGCCTGCACGCTGATCAGCGGCGGTGCCTTCAACAAAGTGGCCGTGTACGACACCGACGTGTTCGCGCTGCTCACCACCATGATGCTGCTCGCCGCGCTCTGGATCCTTTTCTACCTGCTGCGCACTGGGCGCTGTCCCGACGCCGTCCCCTACCGCGACCCACACGCCGGCCCCATCTGGCTCCGAGGTGCCAGGGGAAGTGAGGGTGGCGGTGGGGTGGGCCAGGCCGGGAGCTGGAGACTGGGGCTCTTGGAGGAACTGCACGTCCAGGTAGAGGGGTGAGAAGTTCCTTTAGGAGGATTGGATGTGGCAAGGGTGAGGTGGGCTGCAGTTGGAGAAGAGAAAGAGAAAGCTCCTGGAGGAGGGATGAATAGAGGGATGGAGGGGAACTTCTTTGCCCGACTAAAGATTAGAGAAATGTGGTCATGGGAGAGCTTTGGATGGAGAGCAGAGAACAACAGGCAGTAGCAACTGGAAGAGTCCAGCCAGGGCCCTTCCCCTTATCTATGCAGCCCCAAAGCAGAGAGATGGGAGCTCAATAGGACATCCATCCATCCATCCATCCATCCATCTATCCATCCACCCATTCCATCATACACCCACCCATCCATCTACCCAACCACCAGTCCACCCACCCACCCATCCATCTATCCTTCCACCCACCTCATTCATCCATCCATCCACCCAACCAGCCAACCACTCACTTGTCTACCCATCTATCTAGGCATCCATCCTCAGGGCCACCAGGAAGGGCGAGCTGTCGATAAGCCTTTTCTCCTGCCTCTCTGATTTCCTCATTGATTCCCAGGTGGGTTGGTGCTGTTTGGTATCTGCACTCTTGTCATGGATGTCTTCAAGACTGGCTACTACTCCAGTTCCTTTGGGTGCCAATCTGCCATCAAGATCCTGCACCCCCTCATCCAGGCTGTGTTTGTCATTGTCCAGGTGGGTGGAAGGAGTGTCCTTGGGTGTGGTAGAAGGGAGACAGCACTTGGCAAGGGGTCAGGAGAACTGAGCTCCACTCCCCCTTCTACCCTGAGCAATTAGGTACAGTGGGAATAGGACTGAAGTGAGGATCATATGAGTCTATACATCCGGAAGCACTTGGAAATGAAGTAATGTCCAAATGTGAGCACCTACTTAGGGGCCCTGCAATTTCATTTCAACCTAAGCAGTGCCAATAGTTAATACCTACCAAGTGCAAGGTGTGACAGCCACCTCTGTCTCTTAGAACCTGGCCTGCCTCCCTTGGGTGCCCATGGAAGGCAACCATCTCAGGGAGGAGGGTATCCTGTGGCTGGGATTTTCCAAACAAGTTCAAGTATATATATTTTTTATTTTCTACATAAGCAATGCTTTGAAATATGGTCAGATGGAGCTGAGGCAGGATTGGTCTTACATGTGGCCAGAAAAGACCACAGCCCAGTATGATGACCAGAATGACCACAAGTATGGTGCCCTCCGCTAAAACATCCCTCCAGCTGCCCAACCACTGTTCAACACCCTATGACAATGGCATTTACAGAGTTTTAGTCTTTTACACGTTAAGTGTTTGAAAATGCTCAGGTACAATGAAAACACAGACACCTCACATCAGCCAGTACCATAGCAGGGATTCACTGGCAGCCAGAGGGGAGTCAGGCCTTGCAGGGGACAGAGAACGAGGATGGGGACAGGGGATGTTGTGGAAGGGAGGTGAGAAGCCACCAGACTCTTTCTACCTTAAGCAGGACGTAGCATCAGGCTGGCCTTGCTCCCAGGAAGAGATAATTCCATAGTCAAAGCTCTACTTGACCCCCACCCCCACCCCAAATCAAAATAAAACAGCGCATGACTACAGAGTTGCAGGTGACATTTTGCAAAGCCTTCAAGAACAGAGAACCATCATTTTATACTAACTGTTCCATAGAATAGGGAGAGTACTCCCCATCTCATGTCATAAAGCAAAATAAACTTGGTAACTTAGAGTAAGGCTCTTGGGTAGAGAGACCTCAGTGCTCGGCATGGCCATGGACTATCCAGAGTTTAGTCCTTGTACAGAGTAAATGGTACCATTTTCTCTCAATACAGACTTACTTTCTCTGGGTCTCTGCTAAAGACTGTATTCATGTCCACCTGGATCTGACCCGGTGAGTGCCCACCCACAGCTCAATGCCAGGGCCAGAGAGCCAGGCTCACCTTGAAGGAGAGGAGGGCTTTCCAGCCTGGGCCGTGGATCACCTTTCTGCACCCTGGGTGGGACGCCAGCTAGGCTCTCTTGCTTTGTCAGCCAGACTTCACCCCTGTGTGCAGTGTGTGTGTGTGTGTGTGTGTGTGTGTATGCACATGTTGGGAGGGTGGTTGTGCCCTTTCCCCTAGGGGAACGAGCAGCAGTGGCCTGAGACCATGAGCATCCCCTGGCCCTCCCTTGGGCGGCATCCTGGCCAGGCTAAGTGTACATTCCAAACCCAGCTGCCCTGTCACAACAGGGGCCTGGCTGCCTTCTCGACTCTCCACACCACCTGTCGGTATAGCTCCCCAACCCTCCACCTTGCCAGGGACCCACCATGAGTCAAAGACTCTCCCTCCCCAAACAGCTGTGGTCTCATGTTTACGCTCACCACCAACCTAGCCATATGGATGGCGGCCGTGGTGGATGAATCGGTGCACCAGGCCCACTCCTACAGCAGCGCTCAGAGCAACACCAGCCACACCCGCCTCGCCCCTGACCGTGAGTCCCACCCCTGACTAACCCTGACCAGTGGCTGCTTTGAGGGTTTGTAGAGTCAATTTCCATGCCACACAAGGGCATGGAGGCACAAGTGGGCATCAGGACCTCCTCCTGCTCAAGGCTCCATCTCTGAAGACATATAGGAGTAGGTGACCCAGAAAGTGGAGTATCAGGGGACATTGTCATCATCCTTGAGTGTACAGCGTTGATCCCACTATCCAGGTCTCCAGCCCACGAAGGAAGGGACTCAGGTTACAGGGTGAAAGGGCAAGGGTGATCAAGCTGGGGGAAAAGCAGAGTGGTTCAATAGCGGAAGCGTGGATCAGATGGGGAGAGCCTGGGGGAGGAGAAGGAGAGAAATAATGATGGTGACAGCAGCAATTCACTGAGCCTGAATCGACTTGACGGCGACGGGTTTGATTTGTTTTTTGTTTTTTGTTTTTGTTTTTTTTTTTTTTTTGTATATGCCAGGCAGGAGTCCTGGTGGTGCAGTGGTTAAGCACTCAGCTGGTAACCGAAAGGTCAGCAGTTCAAACCCACCAACCGCTCTGCAGGAGAAAGATGTGGCAGTCTGCTTCCGTAAAGATTATAGCCTTGGAAACCCTGTGGGGCAGTTCTGCTCTGTCCTGTAGGGTTGCTATGAGTCAGAATCAATAGCAATGGGTTTGGTGTTTTTTATATTGAGGGAGAATTAGGTCCAGAGTCCCCTTGGTCCTGGTCCTCTGGACTCCTTCTAAGACTTCTCACTTAGCCAGGACCAGGCTAAATGATGAAGTCCATCTGGACCTTGACTGAAAACACACTCGCCCCCAGTAGGCAGGATCCAGGAACTGAAAACAGGGCTCAGCCCTCAGGGAGACCCCAGTCCAGCAGGGGAAAGAAAGGACCAGTGCCTTGTACCTACAGAGGATTCCAGAAGATGGTTAAACCAGCTGGGAGGCGGTCAGCTTAGCATGGTGGGGCCGAGGGGGTGAGGGGAAAAGGCATGTGGAGAGGTGCCAGCCCCAGGGCTGGGAGAAGGTTGTTTGCAGTAGCTCTACTGCTCAAGTCACCTTACCTCACTGAGCCTCAGTTTCTCCATCTGCAAAACCAGCTGGGATAGTCCTGGGAATCCAAAGAGATGGTTGTCAAAGCCAGAGGTATTTGATAAGGCACTCTCTGGATATAAGATAAGATGCCTATCGGTGTGGGCAAACCAAAGTGACGGGAGGCCACAGGAGGGACCTGGTCACAGCAGCTCACTTTCTGGGCAGAGCAGATGTTGCGGGGAGCTGCAAGAAAGCTTGAACTTGAAGGGTTCCCAAGAGGGCCACCAGAACCTCATCTATCTTAGGGAGCTGGAGGTTGTGGCTGATGGGGAAGGATGGAGGGTGTTTTTGTGATGGAATGGAGTGGGATGGAGTGGGGTGGTTCTATGGTTCAGCTTTTTTTTTTTTAACTGGGCACTGGCTAGTGTCTACTGACGTGCTTCTCAGTCTCTGGCACATAGTAGGTGCTCAATAAATATTTGTGGAGTAAATGAGTGTGCCAGACCTCGTGCAAGGTGTTTGGGGGACAGTGGTGAATATGACAGATGGGACCTGCCCTTAGGAAGGTTGCAGTCTAGAGGGTGAGGTTCTTCAGGTGGGGTGTCTACAGGAAGGTGGGAGGACAGCTCAGTCTGTGTCCCTCTGTTCCCATGCAGGCAGCTCGGTTGGAGGAGACTCCTGCCCCTGTGATGCAACCATCTGCCAGATCTTCCAGCAGGGCTACTTCTACCTGTATCCCTTCAACATCGAGTACAGCCTCTTCGCCTCCACCATGCTGTACGTCATGTGGAAGAACGTGGGCCGGCTGCTGGCCTCCTCCCACAGCCACGGCCACACGCCATCCCGGGTCAGCCTCTTCCGGGAGACCTTTTTCACAGGCCCGGTCCTGGGCCTGATGCTGTTTGTGGTGGGGCTAGCCGTCTTCATCATCTATGAGGTACGAGTGAGTGGGGAGAGTGGCCAGACCCAGCAGGCCCTGGTCATCTACTACAGCTTTAACATCGTCTGCCTGGGGCTCATGACCCTAGTCAGCCTGGGCGGCTCGGTCATCTACCGCTTTGACCGCCGGGCCATGGACCACCACAAGAACCCCACACGCACCCTGGATGTGGCCCTGCTGGTGGGGGCCACCCTGGGCCAGTACACCATCTCCTACTTCTCCATTGTGGCCGTGGTGGTGGGCATGCCCAGGGACCTGCTGGGGGGCCTCAACCTCACCCACGCCCTGCTCATGATCGCCCAGCATACCTTCCAGAATTTGTTCATCATCGAGAGCCTCCACCGGGGCCCGCCAGGGGCCGAGCCTCAGGATACCCCACCCAAGGAGCCCTGCCATGGCCTGACTTTTGCCAACTCGGATGCCCTGCACAGCTTACCCGCCTGCCCACCCACTCCCAGGCTGGTGGACCCCAGCCCCGCAGGCCCTCAGGAAGCAGTGGACATCACCTTGGTCCCCAGGGACCACTGGAGACGCCGGTGCCTGAAGGACATTTCTTTGTTTCTCCTGCTCTGCAATGTCATCGTGAGTAGCTGGGGGGAGAGGAGGGTGGGCTGGGGCAGCGAGAGGCGGAGGCAGGGTCTCATCAGGCTCTTTCAGGTCTGATCACGCAGGCTTCTCTGCCTTGCCGCCAGCCCCCTGGAGAATCTTCCAGCTTTCTAGGAGAGGAGCAGGTTTAGAGAGGGCCGGGTGCAGCCCCGAGGCACCCAGCATCTCAGGGCACACACAGAGAATGAAACTCGAGCATCTGGTATCTAGGCAGCGGACACAGCTATAGGAGTCCCAGGGAATGCTGTCGTGGGGGCTGGGCGGGGGTGAGGGGGAGCTGGGAGAGCTGATGCGGAGGGTGGGGGCCCCTGGGAGGTGTGACTGCTGCTGGGAACTTGTGACCTGCTGCTTCTCAGAATAATTGGAGCAACCTCAGGAAGTAGCAGAGACCAGCGTAAGTGTGAGTGTCTATGAGCAGAGGTGGGCTGATGGGGAAGGGAAGCGTCTACACAGCTGCCTCCTGCCCCGTGATTCAGCAAAGCCTCTTACTAGGAGCAACTCCTCTGTATAGCTTCAGACTTCACCCATATGGAAACACCCCAAGGCAGAAATGCTCTTAGTGAAAGTACACCCCAACAGAGAAGCATGCCTAGTGTAGCTACAACCCAATATAGAAATGCCCCAGTGTAGATATAAACCCCCGGAAGAAAATCTCTAATATAGGAACACGTATTAAGTGGGTACGTGTCCAATCGAGAAAACACGTCTCATGATGATCCAACTCTATGAAAATAACCCCTTTAGCTATAACCTGCCATTAAAAATACCCCCAATATAGAAGCATCCTTAGGGTGAGTATATCCCAATACAGGACATCCCTAGAGTTGATACATCCCCCATGTGGTCTGCATGTGAGGCACCAGCAGCCCTAACTGATGTGCCTTGTCAGTGAAGTCCCCACTCTGACTATTAAAAGCAACCTCTCCTGCAGTCCTGGTCCCCATAGATGGGGTACGACCCCAGGAAGGAGCCTCCCAACCAAGTCAGCTTTGCTATTAAAAAAAAAAAGGATAGTCACCAATCTCTGACCTTATCAGTAAGCAGCAAGGTTCGAAACCTCATAGGTCTTGAGACAGCTTCGGTGCCCCACCCCCAGCCCCACCCTTACCTTCCACCAGGCCCCTCCTACAGGCCAGGTGTCACCTTCCAGGAGGCTGTTTTGCTCCAGGTTATCTGGGATCACCTCCGAGAGCGTCCACTCCAAAGCTTTCCGTTTTGTAGGACACAGGCTGAGGCTCAGAGAGGGTAGTGATGTGCCCAAGGACACACAGTTAAGTGGAGAGGCCAGGGAGCACTACCTTAGAAGCCTTTGGTCTTTGCCTCATGCCCCAGAGATGAAGCAGGATTCCAGTTTCCACCCCCTTCTCTCAGCCCTGGCATGATGGGAGGGGCAGAGCTCATGGAAGGTTGGGGGGGCGGTGAGTAGCCATCTGGCTGGACCCTGAACTGGCTACCCTGGGCCTGTCTGATACTACCACCACATCTGCACACGCCTCTCTCCAGGAAAGAGCTGCTGATTCAGCCATTTATACCAAATTCTCACATCATCTGTTGAGAGCCTCTCCTCCCCTCCTCTGTCCCATGAGTGGGCCTTGCTAAGAGGGCGGGAGATGCGGCCATGGCAGAGCCCTAGTCTGAGGTGGGCAAGCTCAGTGACCAAAATTTCCTGAGCTCCTTAGCGAGTGCCAGGCCCTGTCCAAGACGCTGGAGGTCCCCCTCAGTAACACCCAGCCCTTGCTACCCACCGAACTAGAGCACTGGGGTCCACACCTCGTCTCGGCCCAGCAAAGCCCACAGAAGTGACCCGGTGAATGCCAGTCCAGCCGGGTCCTGACGCACCCCTCTCTCCGCACAGCTGTGGATCATTCCTGCCTTTGGCGCCCGGCCTCACTTCAGCAACACGTTGGAGGTGGAGTTCTACAGCTACACCCTCTGGGCCGCCATCGTCAATATTTGCCTTCCCTTCGGCATCTTCTACCGCATGCACGCCGTCTCCAGCCTGCTGGAGGTCTACGTGCTGTCCTGACGCCAACAGGGACACGACTGGGTGAGGGGCAGCTCAGGCATCCACCCAGAGCCCCTCCTGGTGATGGAACCCAGGCTGCAGAGTCTGCACCACATTACTACGCATTCCCTGCTTGCTCCAGCGCGGAACTTACAAGTTATTTTTCCAGGATGAGTTTTTAAATCACAATCAGGACATGCCCACCCACTCCAGAAGGGCCCTGGGACATGGGGCAACTGGGGAGGGGACCCTGGCTCAGGGTCTCTCCCTGCAGCGTGGCTAGGACCAGGCAAGATCTGGAAGCCCTGGCTCTGGCTCCACCCCCAATCCTGGCCCTGTGGTCTGGCCAGTGTCCTGCTTGGAGCTGGGAACCAATAAACCAGTGATTCATCCACCTGTCCCCACTTCTTATCTCAACTTCCCCTGCTGAGGTGATCACAGGAGAGGATCTTGGGGGACAGAGCTGGAAGGGAAGCTTTCCAGTGAATGAGCCAAGTCTGATTACAGACTAGCTAAGCAGTGGTAACTGGGTGAGGCTGGGAGGGGTCGGGCCAGGCTTCCACCTTCCTCTTCCCTTTATCCCCAGAGTGACATATGCATATTAGCTTCTTTTTCTTTTCTTTTCTTTTCTTTTTTTTATGTGTTCCATGACACAAAAAAAAGGTGAGGAAGCACTGACCCAGTCCAACCACCACGTTTTAAAAGAGGGAAACTGAGGCCCAGAGAAGGGAAGTGACTTTTCCAAGGTCACACAACTAAACAGTGGCAGAGCCTTTCCGCTATAAATAATAATTTTCAAACTTTTTTTTCAAGCAGCAGAACATTTTCCCCCTCAAATAAACTATTTCAGGACCCAAGGTTATAGCATAGAGATAAACAGGACTATTCTAGTTTAAGAGGAACTGGGGCATTCAGACCCTGACCCACCACCCCACTCCCCCGAGGCCCTGAGGCTCCTCTCCAGAACCCTAATCTACACTGCAGAAAGTACTGAGCGGTCAGAGGGTCAGGAGAGGTTGACAAGAGGGTGCCTCAGCTAGAAAAGGAGGAAGACAGAGGCCAGCCAGAGACAGGTAAAGGGGGACAGGCTGTGGGGGAGGCGGCATTTGGGGCGGGAGTGGAAGACAATAGGGTGGGGGCAGCCCCTCCTGGAGCATAGGAGACTTTCCAGGAGAGTATGGCTTGGCCCCTCAGCAGGTTGAGGTGGGCTGGGTCTCAGAGGCCACAGGTGGGTGTTGGGGAGAGCCCCAGGGCGTGGCCTTCCACCCTATTCAGCCTCTTGCGTGTCAGAATGGGGTTCTGCCTGGGTCCTTCCGCCCCAAGTTCCCGTTTGACTTCAGGCAGAAAGGCGGAGGCGCCCTGCAAGGCCAGGTTTGTTGTTAGCGGCCATGGAGTAGATTCTGACTCCTGGCGACCCCATGTGTGCAGAGCAGAACTTCGCTCCATAGCGTTTTCAAGAATGTAAACTTTTGGAAGCATATCGCCAGGCCTATCTTCCGAGGCGTGTCTGAGTGGGTCTGAACTGCCAACCTTTCCGCTAATAGTCCCACCCAGGTGCTAGGTGGGGTGCGGGAAAAGGTGACCCCAGACCTCGGAGGCTGTCCAGTCCCAGCCTGACAGCCAGAGGAAAGTGTGGCCTGAACCCCACGAGCCCTTTACTGTGGGCCTCAGGACAGTGTCTCACACCCCACCGGGGAGGCTGGGCTCCAGCACAAGGCCCGCCCCGGGGCCTCCAGGCCCCGCGCCATCACCGCCTCCTGCCCCGCCTGCCCGTCCAGCCGCCGCGCTATTGGCTGCGGGATACGGGCCGGCGTCCCCGGCGGGGTAATTAACGAGGAGTTAATGAGATTCTCAAAGTCAACAGGAAAATCGATGGGCCACAAAGGCCGAGCGGCGGCTGCGCAATCACGCCGCGCGGAGAGGCCGTCGGGGCATTGTTCGGGGCGCGGGGCCTCACCTGGACCGACGCGCGGCTGCTCTGCAGTCGGTGGGTAGCCGGTGGCGATGCCCTCCCAGGCCTCAGGTAAGGCTGCCCAGCCCGCAGCTGGGGCCAGGAGCGCCTTGGACCACAGGGGTAACATTCCAGGCAAGCCTCCTCCCTCCACTGCCCACACACATTCACCCCAAAGCCAAGTTCAGAGACCAGGCGCTGCAGGGATTGGGGCGAGACGGAGGATTGAGGCATGACTGGGAGGGAGGCCAACCCCGAGATCCCAGCTCTGGCCCCTGCCCCCAGCCCTCTTTTCCGCAGACCCAGGCCCCCGGAGGTCAGCAGAACGCGCGACCGCACAAGGCCGAAAGGGAGTGCTTAGGCTGGGGAGCAGCAACCCAGATAGCTGGGAGGAGGGGCGCGGGGTTGGGGCTGCCTGGCTCCGGGCTGGGGCTGTCCGGGGCCCTGAAGACCCTCGGTAACTCCGAAGAAACCCCGAATCTCCCCGACCCGCGCTCAGCAGCCTCCTCTGGAACTAGCCCTGCGCGCCTGGCCCGGCGCCGCGCTCCGACGGCTCCGCGGCTTTCATCACCCGCCTCAAACCGCGACCCATAAACCAGTTTGGCGTCCGGCCCTCCCTTGGCCTGGCGTCGCGCCGAGGGGCGTGCCAGGGGCACAGACTGCTCCTTGTCAGCCCCAGGTGCCCTCGACCCTACGTGCCCCCTCTTCCCACCGCGGACAGAATTACCAGTTTGCTCCCCTAGCTGCCCTGAAGCGCTGGCCCTCGGGAGTGGAGGGTGGGGATACTGCCTGGTCCAGGACCCTGGAAGGAGAGGATACGGAACCCTGCTCCCCAGTGTCCCCTCTGGGCCTGCAAAAACCGCCTCTGGAATTCATCAATAACCCCACCCCTTCCAGATCTTGAAAGAACTGGAAGATAATAAACAAACAGTAACACTGAGCGCTTTTTGCGTGCCAGGCCCTGTTCTACATGTATTTCCTTGAATTAAATCATTTAATTCTGACAAAATCCCTATGAGTTAGGTGTTACGCATTAATTCATTCAAGAAATGTTTATTGAACATCTACTATGGACCAGGTATTAGTCCATAGTTCTAGGTATACTTACTAAACCTATTTTACAGGAAGTTTAAGTGGCTAGTCCAAGACCAAAAAAGTAGTAAGTGACAGAATCTGGACTAACCCGAAGGTCCGTGGTTAGAACCCACCCAGCGGCTCCAGCGAGAGAAAGATTTGACAAACTGCTTCCGTTAGAGACTACAGCCTTGGAAACCATATGGGGCGGTTCTACTCTGTCCTATAGGGTCGCTGTGAGTTGCAGTCCACTCAAAGTCAAGGGGTTAATTATTAGGCCATCCTGCCTAGGGGCGGGGGAGGGGGAAGATTTGGGGGAAGGCAAGGTGGAGCAGTTGGCGCTGCGGGGAGGCACCCAGTGAGCCTAGCACTTGCTCAACCTGGGCTGGAAAGCCTCCAAGGAAAAGATAAAGATCGTCCGGAACTTCTCCACTGCGAATCCGGATGGAAAGTTTCAATGGCAGGGTCTCTGTCCACGGGTCCAGTGCTGAAAGTTCCCCAGAAACTGCTAGAGTCGGTCAGCAGATACCAGTTGAGTGTCATGCTTGTGCTAGCCTCTGCAGGACCTGGTCTCTGCCCCCAAGGAGCTGTATGAACCCCTGAAACTATTGCCCTGAGATAATCTTTAAACCTTAAACCAAAAATATTCCCTAAAGTCTTCTCAAAACCAAACAATCGTTCAGCTTAACTAGTAAAGAATGTCTGCCCTGAGCACTGTGCTCTTTTAAGATCTATCTATATGGGATCAAATTGACAACAGCCACTCAAAAGATTAGAAAGGAACCTTAGGGGGCAGTGAGTTTATGTTAATGGGGGAGGAACAACTCAGAAAAGAAGGGTGAGAATGGGTGTACAATTTGAAGAATGTAATCAATGTCACTAAATTGTACATGCAGAAATTGTTGACTTGGTGTATGTTCTGCTGTGTATATTCTCAACAACAACAAAAAATAAAATAAATTATTTTAAAAAATAGAGGGAGATAGCATGCCATGGGGGCCCCAGGATGGGGCACCTCACCCAGCCTTGGTGCAGTGGGTCTGGGAAAGCCGCCTAGAGGAGAGGAGGTGTCTGCTGAGCCTAGAAGGACGAGGGGCAAGGGGGGTAGGTGTTTTAGGCAGGAGGGGTGTGGGCAGAGACAGGGAGGGGAGTGAAAGCAGGGGGCATTGTGGTTTCTGCAGCAGAACGGCTTGGCCTGTGGACAGGCAATGGGGTCAGAAGACAGTGCGGGAGAGGTAAGTCAAGGCCAACCAGAAAGCAACAGCAGCTCCCCCTGCCTTGAGCACTTCCTGTGGGTGGGCCCTGTGCTTAGCCCTGTACATACACTGTCTTGTTTCACTTGGAAGGCTGCGGGGGGCCATGCTGGAGAGTTTGGACTTTATACTGAGGGCAGTTGGTTGTCTTTGTAGGGCTCCAAGTAGGGAAGAGGCACAAAGGGCAGGGAAACCAGTCGGATCCTCTAGCAGAAGTCTAGGCAAGAGAGGAGGGTGCCCTGGACTAGGGTAGTCATTGGGGTCGAGTAAAATCTAACAGGGATTTATAAACTGGAGTGGACAGGCATGGGGCCTGCAGGGGGCCGGGGGGTGAGGGGAGAGGCAAGGAGGAAGCCGTGTTCCCAGCTAGGAGATGTAGCGGTGGAGGTGCCACTCTCTGAGGGTGTGGACATTAGGAAGCAGGCCTCCTCCAGCCTGGAGAATGGGGACAGTGAGCCCAGGGATCTGGGAATGAGGGCAGGGCAGGGGCAGGGCCAAGGAAGAGTGTCTGAGGAGGAGCAAGGGGTGTGGAGGGAGGCTTCAGCTCAGCTCAGGAGAAGCCTCCCAGCCAGGAGGGCACCCAGAACCACCGGGCTGTCCCTGCCCTCTAGGGCTGAGGGCTCAGTCCCTCCAGCAATGAGCACCTCCTATAGGTCAGGCCAAAGGGGAGGGTGTGTTGGACTCGGAGCCAGGGGGCCTGGCCCGCAGGTATTCGGTGGCCCATGATCTGGGTCCAGTTGAGGGGTGACAAAGTGGCTGGCCTGCGTGAAAGCTCGGGGAAGCTGAGGAAGCAGCAGGAGACATTTAGGGAGAGGGAAGGGTCAAGAATCATTTCCCCATGATTTGCTGGCCACTCATGGATATGGAGGGGTGCAGGTGGAAGTCAGTTCTGTGAAAGTCAAGGGTGCAGCATTCCAGCTGATTCCATCCCCTCCATGCTCATGGCGGACATTGCAAATCAATCCCAGAACTTTTTCCCTTTGTTATGTTTTAAAGCTAATTTTAATTACATACGGAATGTGTTAATGTTTTAAAAACCTATGACATAAAAGCTAAAGAAAAGTTCACCATCGCCAATCCTGTACCTTTATCCTTCCCCAGCAGAGATCCTATTGTGAATCTGGTAGGTCTCCTTCTAGAACTTCTTTTTTTTTTTTAAATAATATTTTATTGTGTTTTTGGTGGAGGTTTACACAGCAGTTTAGGTTCCCATTCAATAATTTCTACACTAGTTGTTCAGTGACATTGGTTACGTTCTCTACTATACATAAACGTTCTCATTATTTCGTTCTGGTTGTTCTGTTCCCATTAATCTAGTTTCCCTGCCCCCTTACATTCTCATCTTTGTTTTAAAGTAATTGTTGACCATTTGGTCTTACACAGGTGATTTTTTTAAACGTTTTAAAAGCACTGTTATGTACACTCATGTGTACTCATAAACAGAGTATTATTTCAGATCACAGCCTTCTTCCCCACTCTGCGCAGACTCAGCCTTAAGATCCTTCTCAACACAACACTCTAGGCAAGGAAAACACAACTAATCAGAGTCAAATCAAGGAAGGACACCTACTTGCCTTGCCTGGTCCCAGGAGTGAAATTCCTCCCGGGAGACAGTGGGGCACAAGCTGCCTTTTGGTCCTGAAAAGTCCTGGTGTCCTGGCGCTGTGCAGATGCCCCCAGTTCCTTAACTGACATTATTATCCCACCTTAGGATCAGGCAGAATGACTGAGGTGAGAAGTGGGGTGGCCCAGCTCAAAGGAGGGTGTGGTCCTCAAGCCGGCTGCAATGTTTATTTGCAGCACAAAGGGGTTCCATGTCCCCTGGTCTGTTTGACCCTCCTTGGGTCCTGTAAGGTAGATGGGGCAGCTGCCATTATTTCCGATGTCCCAACCAGAGAGGTTGCATAGCTCACCCTAGGACACAGAGCCAGCGGGTGGTAGGGGTGGAATTGAACCCAGGACAGCTTAGCAGGCAACACTGGACCCTCTCTCCTTCCCCAGGCCCCGCTGAGGCTCCACCCGAGTCCTCTGCAGAAGCACAGGAGACAGCAGCAGCCCCGGCCAAGGAGAACGGGGTGGACACAGGGGTCCAAGCCCCTCCCAAGCAGAAGTCCTGGCTAGTGCGACATTTCTCACTGCTGCTGCGGCGGGACCGACAGGCCCAGAAGGCGGGGCAGCTCTTCTCTGGGCTCCTGGCCCTCAACGTGGTGTTCCTGGGCAGCGCCTTCATCTGCAGCATGATCTTCAACAACGTGGCTGTCACGTTGGGTGACGTGTGGCTCCTGCTGGTCGTGCTCAAGGTCCTCTCCCTCCTCTGGCTCCTCTACTACGTGGCCTTCACTACCCGCCGGCCACACGCCGTGCTCTACCAGGACCCTCACGCCGGACCTGTTTGGGTGCGGGGTGAGTGTCGGGGCTCTGGGTGGGTGGAGACGGGTGGGACGGGAGACCCGGTTCCCGGGGAGGTGCCAACGCCCGCCTGGCCTGGCAGGCTCCCTGGTGCTGTTCAGCAGCTGCACCGTCTTCCTCAATGTCTTCCATGTGGGTTACAACGTGAGCCACCTCCACTGCAAGTCCCAGATTGAGCTTGTCTTCCCTGTCATCGAGATCGTCTTCATCAGCATCCAGGTAACAGGCCTCTCTCATCCCCATGCAGCAGGACACACACCCTATCTACCCATGAGCGCATGCACACACGCACCCCACCTGTAGCTAGAAGCAGCCACACAGGTATATACCTACAGGCCCCAGTGGATACACACACACCGCACGCCCGCACAAATGCCTGCCTCCATGTACCCACGTGCACACACACCTACATATACCCGCATCTGCACGCAGACACCTTGTAACTGAAATGCAGACACCCGTAACTACATCTACCTAACCGTACTTGCATATAATCTACATAAATACACATCTACTTTTAATAATGATGTCTAACTCTCTCCCAAGTTCTGGTTGTGTTCTTTTTTATTTCCCCAACAAGTAGGCATTCCCGTGATCGGTAGGTATTTTTGGCTCCTTTTAGAAGCTGAGGAGACTGAGGCTGAGAGATGTTTGGTCACTGGCCCAAGACCACACAGCAAGGAAAGGGTGGAGCCAAGATTCCAGCCCAAGCCTTCTCACTGTCTTATCCATTGTAAATACACACACGCAATAGGAGCACACACTCACACCCTGGTCCTACCACCCCCAGCCCCTGGGCTCAAGGCTTTCTCTCTTTCAGACCTGGGTGCTCTGGAAACACTGTAAGGACTGTGTTCAGGTCCAGACCAACCTCACTAGGTAAGATGGGGCTGCTTCTCTCCCTCTAGAACCTCCTGGGGCTCCCTATTCTCCCTACTGCCTGTCCTCTACAGTCTCCCTGGACAAAGTGGCCCAGGGGTGGGGGTCAGTCTGAGAATGGGTCCCAGGGGCCATGTATCCTGAAGTCATAATGCCCTAGTAATGGGATCTGGCTTTGGGAGGAGTGAGTGGTCCCCCAATAGCACTTGGTGGTGGGATTGGGCACCAGACAGCCAGCCAGGCTGTGTGGCTGAGTGTGTCACCTCGTCCAGGTGTGGCCTGATGCTGACCCTGGCCACAAACTTGCTGCTGTGGGTTCTGGCCGTCACCAATGACTCCATGCATCACGAGATCGAGGCTGAGCTCAGCGCCCTCATGGAGAAGTTCTCAGGTACAGAGAGGAGGCCAGAACTATCCCCACCTGACCCTCCACCATCCACCGCCCCCACACACACACATACACACACACACACACACACACACACACACACACACTAACCAAAAAAAAAAAACTGTCGAGTAGATTCCGACTCATAACAACCCTATAGGACAGAGTAGAACTGCCCCATCGGGTTTCCAAGGAGTGACTGGTGGATTCAAACTGCTGACCTTTTGGTTAGCAGCTGAACTCTTAACCACTGCACCACCAGGGCTACACTCCCTCAAACGCGCACGTGAGTGTACAGAGTTGGGACAAACTACGGAGGCTGGGTCATAGATAACCAGAAAACTGGATGCAGTTTTCCGATGGCACCTGTCCCCCTGCCCCTATTCTGTGCCTCCCCCATCAGGCGCTGACACCCTGCAACCCACCGCAGGTGTCGCTCTAGCTGTCAGTGAGCTAGCCACTAATCTCAGTTGAGCTATTCGCTGATAAGTGCTTTAGGTATGCACCCCACCCGTGGTATTTGCACTTTCTTTGCAGGAACAAAAGCCTTGAGGACTGTAAAGAATGTCTTCTTAATACAATTTGAGATGCCTAGACATATCAGGAGGGATTTCCAGGCAGATAACTCCCCAGATTATTCCATGTGCTCAGTCCCTCTCCTACATCTACAGTCCACCCCTTAGATGTCATATCCCGTAAATGCACGTGGGAACATTGCCATCTGTAGGGTTGGTTGCCACCACACCTGTGTATACAACCCCCCAGGTGGCATCACCATTGTGACCTGTCTGCAGCCAAGCCCTTCCGGCACACTCACGCATTTGCACGCCCATTGTATAAAGCAAGGCACACCTGTTGACTGTGTGTATTCCGAATACCCTGGATATATTTTCCAGAAAAACTGTGCAGAGAGAATGTTTGACAAGTGACACCATTTTTTATTAACAAAAAAATCAAACTATAAAATTCTATATTAATAAAAAAGTATAAAGGTTATATTAATAAAAATTGATTTTGTATCTCTAAAATAAATATTTTCCCACAGGACCACAATGCTATTATAATTTTTAACAACATCCCTTAACATTATCCACATCATCTGTATCAATCTAGATTTGAATTTCTCCAATTAGCTTATGAAATTTTCTTTATAGATGGTTCGTTCAAGCCAGGATCCAATCAAAGGCATACAATGCGTTTGGTAACTAGGTCTTTTAAATCTCTTTTGTTCTAAGAGTACTTAAAAAAAAAGACTCCTGCTGTCAAGTCAATTCTGACTCACAGCAACCCTACAGGACAGAGTAGAACTGCCCCACAGGGTTTCCAAAGCTGTAAGTCTTTACGGAAGCGGATTGCCACATCTTTCTCCCGCGGAGCAGCTGGTGGGTTCAAACCACCGACCTTTCGGTTAGCAGCTAAGCGCTTAACCACTGCACCACCAGGGCTCCTTATCTAAAAGAGTGACCCCCCCCCTTTTTTTTCCCTCATGACATTGCATCCTCGTGGTGCTGTTGGACTTGTTCCTGTCCCCGCTTTCCTATAAATGGGGAGTTCAGCCAAGAGCTTTGATTAGATTCAAGTTAAGCAGTTTTGGCGACAGTGTTTCTCAGGTGGTGCTGGGTGCTTTGATGCCGCCCCATCAGAAGACATGTGACATCCCATTGCCCCGCGGTGAGCGCCGTTGTGATTGAGCGCTGGGTTCAGGTGAAGCAGCCAGATCTCCCCATTGTGAAGTTATAGGTTTGCCTTTGTGCCCAATGCATGGTTTGTGGAGGTGACATTTGGCACCAAGGACATCAAGTTTTAAATGCTTCACTCAAGCCTGGCACCTGAATCCTCTTGTACTCCTGTGATTTATATCCCTGGGCCTCAGTCTCCACATCTGTAAAATGAGGGGCTGGGTCCCTTCCGCGTCTGGCATGTGCCGGGGGGGGATCATTTGCGCCGCTGGCCCACCTGAACGTCTGTCCTCTCCCGCCCGGACCTCTCCCAGGCAATGAGACCAACACCTGCCTCTGCCTCAACGTCACGGTGTGTGAGGTTTTCCGGAAGGGCTACCTCTTGCTCTACCCCTTTGGCACCGAGTACTGCCTCGTCTGCTGTGCTGTGCTCTTCGTCATGTGGAAGAACGTGGGCCGCCGCGTGGCATCCCACGCAGGGCCCCACCCCAGCACCCCGCCCTTCCGCCTGCATGGGGCTATCTTCGGGCCACTGCTGGGCGTGCTGGCGCTGGTGGCCGGCGTGTGCATCTTTGTGGTCTTCCAGATCCAGGCAAGTGGTCCGGCCATCGCGCGCCAGTACTTCACCGTCTACTATGCCTTCTATGCTGCGGTGCTCCCTGCCATGAGCTTGGCATGCCTGGCGGGCACGGCCATCCACGGGCTGGAGGAGCGAGAGCTGGACACGCTCAAGAACCCCACACGCAGCCTGGATGTGGTGCTGCTGATGGGCGCGGCACTGGGCCAGGTGGGCGTCGCCTACTTCTCCATTGTGGCTATCGTGGCCACTCACCCGCAGGAGCTGCTCAACCGCCTCATCCTGGCCTACTCGCTGCTGCTCATCCTGCAGCACATCACCCAGAACCTCTTCATCATTGAGGGCCTGCACCGGCGCCCGCTCTGGGAGGCAGCTCTGGAGAGTAAGCCCGAGGCTGAGCTGCCCCGCAGGGGCTCGCTGCTGGAGCTGGGCCAGGACCTGCGGCGGGTCTCGCTGGCCTACATCCATTCCTACAGCCACCTCAACTGGAAGCGGCGGGCGCTCAAGGAGATCTCACTCTTCCTCATCCTCTGCAATATCACAGTGAGTGGCCAGGCCGGGAGGCATAGAGGGCAGAACTGGCCACATGGCCCCAGAAATCCTCACTCAGGAAGGGACGGATCAAGGTACGTGCATTGAGCATTGACTGCCCAAAGGGCAATCGGCTTATCATTTTGATTGTCAAGGACACGTGCTTCTCTCCAACGAACCTGATACCGCATAAGAGCAGTGAGTGTACCCCAGCTCTTTGCAGGTATCTGGCATGAATGAATGTGCCAAGCACATAGCTTAGTGCTCCTTACAAACATGCGAGATTCCTACCTTCATGGAGCTTATTGTCTAGTTGGGGAGACACATGGAGACCAGTTAGAGAATTACCAAATTGTCCACTGAATTCAGTCAAAGGAAGAGATCAGAAAGTGCCTGATGTTCTACAGAATTGCTAGTAGAAGATATGGGCAATAATTGCTCAGTATTTGGTGGCTGCTAAGTCCCAGGTCCCCCTGAACCTTCTCCATGCGTGCCCTCAGCACCTCACTGAATTGTCACAGTAATCCCATGTGATAGTATTATGCCTATTTTACAGGTAGGGAAACAGGTTGAGGTTGTTTGGCCTGCCCAAGGCCCCGTGGCCTGTAAGTGGCAGTGCTGGGTCTAGAACTCAGAGTCGCCTGCCCCTGCAGCCCAAGTTGGTAATGACTGCCCTGGAGCACACCCCAGATGGTGCAAGTCCTGGTCTAGGCAACGAATAGGTAGTAAATTGGTCTTAAGTGCAATAGGCTTCCAAAGAAGGAAGCGAGGGCCAGAGCGGCTGAGGAAAGCTTCCTGCAGGCGGTGAGGTTTGATCTGGGCCTTGAGGAGAGGGGAGAATTTGGACAGGAAGGGGAGGGGGGTGTAACTAGCAGGAGGATGAAGCCCAGCAGAGAGCAGAGCACAGAGGAGCCTGGCTTGACAGAGCAGCCTGCACGCCGGGAATTCTTGCTGGACCCCAGGCTTGGTGGCATCTGGGGCCTCGGGGTCCATCTGGAGGTCAGGCTGGCCCCAGGGGAGAGCTGAAACCTTCTTTGCGCTGGGATGAAGGGGAGGTGGGGGGAGAGGAGCGCACCCTGAAAACCCATGGGTTAGGGGTGGTAGATAGGGGTGTGCTGGAGTAGCTGCAAGTTGTGGGGCTTGCATCCCCCAAGCTGACACCCTCCTCTCCTCCCACAGCTGTGGATGATGCCGGCATTTGGCATGCACCCCGAGTTTGAGAACGGGCTGGAAAAGGATTTCTATGGCTACCGGACTTGGTTCACCATCGTCAACTTCGGCCTGCCTCTGGGCGTCTTCTACCGCATGCACTCGGTCGGGGGGCTGGTGGAGGTCTACCTGGGGGCCTGAGACTGTCCGAGGAACCCACACTGGCAGAACCTGAGGTGTCCAGGCAGGTGACGCATTCCAGGAGGGCAGAGACCAGCCCGAGTTCCCCAGAGCCTCCCTGAGGGGAGAAGGCACTGTCTGTGGCTCCGAGATCAAGGGCAGGGCCTAAACCCTGACGCCCAGGCCCAGGACTGGCAAGGGCTTGCCACCTGCTTCACCACCATAATCAGTACAGCCATAATCAGCACCCGAGGAATCTGGCGAGGGTGCCCCACAGCTGCTCTCTGGGAGGGTCAGACCTAAAGTGCCAAGTCTAGGGAGTTTGCAGAGGGGCGCCCCTCCCCCCGCCGGGCCTCAGGGTCTGCCTCCTGCCGTGGGAAGGACTGGCGGCCCAGGATGCCCTGGACGCTCCCCCTGCACCCTGTCCCCTAACAAGCTCATTAATTAGCTGCCAGGCAGGGTTCAACAGCTCTCTCCCGCTGCCATAAACTCTGTTTGTTTGATCGATTGCACTTGGGCTTCGTGGCATTTATTCCCAGGGTCGGAGCTGCCGGTCCTAGTACCGTGGGAAGGGCCAGGCTTCTGGGCGGGGCAGTGGGGCTGGGACAGTCCCGTTTCCAGGCCTCCTCTTGCTTTGTCTGATCCATGGGTATGGGGGCTGGGGAGGGACAGCCCTGTAGGGGGTCTCGTGTCCCCTCACCCCACGCCAGCAGGGCCTCTTCCTGGGACAGACCCCAGGTGGCAGCTCTGCAGCTGGCTCACAAGGGCGCTGTGGCCTCTGCTGCTCAGTCCCCAGGCCTGCCTGGTCCCCTGAGCCATGGGAGGGGCAGGAAGGGAAGGGAAGACAGCAGCCCTGACAACCCATCCATCTCCCTGAGCCCAGAGCAAACAGGGCCGAGCCCAGGTGAGGCTGGCGTGGCAGCCCCGGCCCTGGAGGCCAGGCTCCCCTCCCCTTAGCCTCCCCTCCCCTTAGCCTCCCCTCCCCCGGGAGGCTGGGCACTGCAAGCACAGGACGCTGCCCGGGCCCCCAAAGCTCTCGGTGGGTGCTGGGGCCACAGAGCCACTGGGGGCCGTGCAGGGGGCTGGGAGCCAGGCCCCTCCTCTCCCAGTTGAGGTCTTCTCTGGGTGGCCCCAGCCCAGCGTCCAGTCCTCTGCTTCCCCACCCAGAAAACTGGCAAGTGCCTGTCCTAGGCCTTCGACAAGAGCCGTGTCTGCCCCTCCCCTCTAGGCACAGAGACAGATGGTGGAGAGGGGGATTTTATTGTGTAAAGAGGCCGATTGTACACAGCAAAGATTGTACTGATACAGGTCGGGTGGGAGACCCGGAGACCAGAGCCGGGGCCGGCTGAGAAGGATGGGGGTGGCCTCCTGAGCCCCCTTCCTCCCAGTCAGCCAGGCAGTGGGACAGGGCAGGAGGACTGGCTGGCTGCACCCCACCTTGACCCCTCACCCCCGTGACTGAGTAAGAGGAAATCAGGCTACATCCACTGGCCCCGGAGAATATAGCAGGAGGCCCTCAGTACCCTCCTCCAAACCCCTAAGATCCATGGGGTCCCCGGGTCTGGCTTTGACAGCCTCCTGGCAGCCTGGAACATTCCTTTCTCCCACAGCCTGGCAGTGAGCCAGGCCCGGAACAGCGTCAGGTTAGGAGGCTCGGGGGGTCCCCTTACCCCACTAAGGTGCCTCAAGGGACAGCCCGCAGCCCCTTCTTGGGCAACCCCACCAGGGCACAGTGACCCTGTGGCCTCTGGGACAGGCAGCACAGGAGCCGGGTGGCACTGAGGGGTCTGGAGAAGGAGCCGGAGTGGGGTGGTCCCTGCAGTTCTGGAGACACGGGCTCCTGGGAGACCAGCCTGGAGGATCAGGGCCAGTCTCCACCTTCCCCAGCCACGGAGGCCACCCCTGGGGCCTTCCACCCCAGACTCGGCCCCTCGGCCTGCCCCCAGCCCTGATCGTGGTCATTTAAAGCTAAGAACAGTGAGGGAGGGGAAGCGTGGGGGGACAGCGCCCTGACCCCCCCATCTTCACACCCGCTGGATCTCAAACAGCTTCACGTTGGTGTCATACCAGACAGGCGGGTCCACGTTCCTGGGGAAGGAGGGGCTGTCACCAAGGGAGCTGGGCACTGGTACAGCCCAAACCCATTTCCATCCTCTGTGTCCCCCACCCTCAACCAGGCAAGACCACGAGTCCTTGTCTTGACATTAGCCCCCCCATGGATGGGGGACACAGAGCCAAGGTCCCTGTGGGGCAGGCCCCTCAGGTAGACCCCAGACCCCCCCCAGTGGTGACTGCCCCGCCCCCCATGGCCAACCTCAGATAGATGACGCCCCACATGTAGGTGCGGAACCACATGGCAGTGCCTGAGTTGGCCTGGTACTTGCGGATGAGGATGGGGTGGGGCACGGGCAGCAGCCCCACCAGGGTACCATGTTGCAGGAACCGCAGGATCTCTGACTCATCCGTCAGGCCTCTGCAGGGAGGGGACAGGCGTGCAGGTGGGGCGGGGTCCAATCTGCTCCAGCCTCGCAGGGGAGGTCTAAAGGAACATGGGGCTCACCCTGGACCCGGAGGCCCCGCTCGCCATCACACCCTCCCAAGCCTGGCCAGCCGCCTGGCCCCACCTCCACCCCAGCCTCACTTGTCGATGCAGATCTTCTCCACCTGGGGCACCAGCACCTGGAGCAGCCTCATGATGGTCTGCAGGGGCAGCTTGGACTTCCAGGAGAGCACCTGGGGGAGGGACAGGGTTCCTGGGCTGGGAAAGGAGCCCCCGGAGCTATAGGACAGTCCTGACTCCTGGCCCGGGACCACAGCCCCCTGGCAGAAAGCATCCTACTCACGGCTGCATGGGCCTGGCCCAGGGTGCTGCCAGGAGCAGTGATTGTTAATAACGATAAGAGCCAGGCCAAAGGCGTGCCACGCGCCTTACACATGGGCATGGTTGGTAGGGACTTTTACCATTTCCATTCATTGCAATTAGTGGTGATCTCCGGAAACGGGAGTGGGGAAGTGATCTGGGGGAGGATGTCAGGACGGGTGAGCTATTAACAAATTGCTCCGTGTGCAACTAGAGCTTAACCCTGCTGGGGAGCCCTAGGAAACCATCTGGGCGGTGAAGCAGAGAGAGGCCAAGGTCACCCGGCCGGAAGGACTGACCACAGAGCCCCACTCCCACGCCAGGTACTGTGAATTGGACACACCCCCACGCGAGTCTTTACTGAGCGCCCGAGCCAGCCCCTCCAAGGGCCAGGGTCCCCAGAGGCAGCCCCCACCTCGATGTCATCAGCCCAACCCCAACCCCAGCTGCGCCAGCACGGGCCCCTCACCCACTCCGATGTTGGGCCCCACTGGCCGCTGGCAGACGCACTGGACGGTCGTCGTTGCTCCCGCCACACCTGGCCAGTCTCCTGGACCGGGGAAGGAAACGGGACATGAGAGGTGGAGGGCGGGGTGCAGAGTGGCGGGGGGCAGGAAGGCATTCCTCTTTCAGTCCCTCCCACATCCGGAACCCTCAGGGGGCAATGAGGATTCTCCACTGGACCATGGAGTGGGAGGGCGAGCCAGGGACTCACTCCCAACAGAGGCACAGGCCCAGCCCAGCACCCTTTGCCCTGGACTCCAGGCCTGGCGGGGCCAGCACAGCCCGTGACAGGTTTAGGGCCAGGTGCTGACAGGGCAGGCCGGGTAAAGGGTAGTTGCAGATAAGGCTGATGGATGAGGAGTCTGAAGGCCAAGGGCTTGAGCCCAGGAAACAAGGGAGGGGGCTGTGAAAGTTCCCCACCCCCAGCAAGAGTGGCAACTCTGGGACCCTGGGTGCTGGGTGCTGGCCCCTTCGGCCCAGGGAGGAAGGGGACACCCAGCTCACCCCGCTCCAGGACTCTCCATTGCCCACCCCTGAGGCAGGGCCACGGTCCGCTGAGCCTTGCTGGGGCTCCGGCTCCAGGGACCGCAATGTGCCATCCTCTGACACCTGGGACTTCTCCGTCAGCTTGTCAATGCCTGGGGGGCAGAGGTGGAAGTGAGGTGGCCTCCCCAGAGCCCCCCTAAGGAGCCTTCCTCCACTGGCCTTGCCCTCTCCAATGCTCACCCCTTCTACCAGCCACCGAGGAGGCACTGTGCCCAATACCCCCCACACTCCCACCTCTGCCCACCCCTCCCAGAGCCCACAGACAGCCCCAAGCTCCAATCTCCCCAACCAAGCTACCCCTCCTGGGCCCCCTCATATCTGGGTCCCCCAATACTTCACCCCCACCCATTCCACATCCCCATCCCTTCAGCATCCCAACCCAGGCCATTCCCTCTGCAGAGATGCGGTTTACGCCCTGAGACCATGTGGCACCCACGCTCCCCTCCCTCCCGCCAGCACCAGACCTGGGGTGGCCACCAGGCTGGTCTTGAGGGTGCCCGGCTCAGCGGGGGCGGCAGGGCGGGAGCCCTCCATGGAGGCGCCCTCCTGCGAGCCAGTGCGAGACAAGGGCTCGGGCACCCGCCGGCGCCGCTGCAGGGCCTTGTGGATGGTGGGCGGGTCAGTGGGCAGATTGGCCAGCTGGTGGAAGACGCTGCGCTTTCGGATGATGGCGTAGACCAGGTTGGAGTTGCCTGTGGGGAGACAGCACACCTCGACTCAGGGAGGCCTCCTTGTCCCCCCACAACATCTGGGCAGGCTGTGCAAGGGGGGGTCTGGAGGACAGGAGGGCGTCTACCTGGGGGTAGGAGGGGGTACGGGAGCCTAAGGGAGAGGGAGCCGGGGCAGGGCTGGTGCCTGGCTGTGTGCCCAGCTCTGGCCATGCCAGGCTGCCACGTTGTCAGGAAAGCCTCTGGCCTGAGCTCCCCCAATGCCTCTCTCCTGGTACCTCCTGGACCACCTCACAACTCAGCACTAAAGAAGCGGCATTGTTAACCGCCATCAAGTTGGCCCCCAACTCATGGTGACCTCATGCAAAAACAGAATAAAAGGTTGCCTGGTCCTGCACCACCCCATGATAGGTTACAGATCTGACCCCGGTGCTCCACAGGGTTTTCATTGGCTGATTTTCAGAAGTAGATCACCAGGCCTTTCTTCCTAGTCTGTCTTAGTCTAGAAGCTCTGTTCAGCATCATAGCAACACTCAAGCCTCCACTGACAGATAGGCAGGGGCTGCGTATAAGGGGCATGGCCAGGAATTGAACCCAGGTCTCCTGCATGGAAAGCAAGAATTCTACCATTGAATGTGTCACACTAAACGGGTAACACCTGGCAACTTGGGGTGGGCCCCAGCCTGACAGCGTCCACACCAAGCCAGGTAAGAAGTAGTCTGACTTTCCCTGAGCCAGGTCTCCAAGGAGGGGACCAAGAGGACGAGGTTGTGGGGAGCCTGCGTTCCTTCATGCCCTACCTTTGTTCCCCACTGTCTCCCCGTCACCTAGCACTGGCTCAATAACTGTATGTTGAACGGATGGGGGCAGGTCAGAGGGCCAGCAGGCCGGCACCTCCCCGGAGGCCAGTTCTGGGGCTGTGCCCTCCTTGGACGGGAAGGTGCCCTCAGCCATTATCTGCTCTGATGCCCGCCTGCAGGCTAGGCCCGGTAACCTCCCGGCGCTGGTCCCCAAGGGGGCTTGGGCAGGTGCCTCACCATCGAACTGGTACTGGATGATGTTGTTGAAGGCCTCTAGGAGGAAGAAGGCCAGGTGGTGGTTCTGGGCCGCGGAGAAGAGGAACCAGGTGGTGGAGAAGGCCTCCAGCAGATGCAGCAGCTTGTTGGCAGCCACCATGGACAGGCTCTTGAGGTAGGGGGACACTGCAGGGGAGGGGTCGGCTCACTCCCGGAGCCCCAGACCGGCCACCCCTGCACGTCCTGGACCTGATACTTCTCCTCCCAATTTCCCCGTCTCCCGCCTACAAAGATCCTGCAGAACCAGGAAGACCAAGCCCCTATAAGCCCTGGCCAGGCCTTCTGCAGAGCCCCCAGGGGCCGTCTGGACTCCATCCTCACCTGTGTGGACAGTGTACTGTTTACAGAGCTGCTCACATGTCCCATCTCCCCCCGTCCTCCCCACCCCCGAGAGGGAGGCAGGACGCAGACAAGATTATCCCCATTTCACAGATGAGGAAACTGAGGCTCAGAGAAGTTTGCAACCTTTCCCCAAGTTCCCCAGTTATAAAATGATCGGGCAGGGATACAGACTCAGGACTTTTAAGTCCTTCTAGTCTGTCCAGTTGCTGTATCATTTAAAAAGCAAAACAACAAAACAACAAACGAGTTGCCATTAAGTCTGCTCCAGCTCATGGTTACCCCACGTGTATCAGAGTAGAACTATGCTCCACAGGGTTTTCAATGGCTGGTTTTTTAAAAGTAGATTGCCAGGCCTTTCTTCCAAGTCACCACCCAAGGACTCTGCTATATCATTGTTGTGTTGTTGCGTGTGCTATTGAGTAGACTGTGACACATAGTGACCCAACGTGACAGAGTAGAACTGCCCAATAGGGTTTCCTAGGCTATAATCTTTATGGGAGCAGATTGCCAGGTCTTTTCTCCTGTGGAGTGGCTAGTAGGTTTGAACTGCTGACCTTTCAGTTAGCAGGCAAGCGCTTCACCACTGCGCCACCAGGGCTCCTTGCCATATCATTTTGTTATCCATTGCCGTCAAGTCGATTCTGACTCATAGCAACCCTACAGGCCAGAGTAGAACTGCCCCATAGGGTTTCCAAGGCTGTCACCTTTACGGAAGCAGACTGCCACATCTTTCTTCTGTGGAGCAGCTAGTGGGTTCGAACCACTGACTTTTCCGTTAGCAGCAGAGCACTTAACCACTGAGCCAGGAGAGCTCCTTGCTATATCATTAGGCATGCATCAATCACTCTCTGTTTGCACAGCCCTATGAGTGGCGAATAGGAGATGAGCCACTGAGCACAGCTTGAAGTCAAGTATCTGTCTGAGCATTTCCTTGACTCGCGTCTTTCTCCCTCACTAGGCTAGGGACCCCACAGGGGCAGGACAGTGTCTGTCTTGCTCAGACGCGCATTCTCAGAGCAGGCATGCTCAGTTAGGATTCATGGGATGGAGCTGGTGAGTGAAGGAGTGACGGGGGCATGGTCCTGGCCCCAGAGCTCACTGTCCAGCTAGAGACTTCCATGCCCCCACACCTCCCCTCCCAGAGTCCAAATCAGACGACTGGGGAGCCAGCCGCCCCCACCCCAAGACATGCCCTCTAAAGGTGTCCATGCTGATGTCATCCCAATGGCTTCGGCCGCCCTACCCCAGCCCAGTAAGCCCTACTGCCTCCTCTCCTGGCAGGTATATGCAGGCCTTGCCAGGTGAGCAACATCAAGGCAGAGAGGAGGTGAACTTGACGTCCCCATGCCCGTGCCTCCAACCATCTAAACCTGTGTGTCCAATATGGTAGCCACAAGCCACGTAGGCATAAGGCATTGAAGCTCAGCTAGTCCTGGCTGAGATGGGCTGTCAGTGGAAGAAAACACACACGGGGTTTCGAAGATTTGGTGCCAAGAAAGAATATAAAACATCTCATTAATACATTTTAGGAAACCCTGGTGGCATAGTGGTTAAGTGTTATGGCTGCTAACCAAAAGGTCAGCCAGTTCGAATCCACTAGGATTCCTTGGGAACTCTAGTGGGCAGTTCTACTCTGTCCTACACATCTTATACTGGTTACGTGTTGAAATGATAATATTTACATAACCAAAAAAAAACAACATTGCTGTTGAGTCCATTCAGTAGAACTGCTCCATAGGGTTTTCTTGGCTGTAATTTTTACAGAAGCAGATCGCTAGGCCTTTCTTCCACAGCACCACTGGGTGGGTTTGAACTGCCAATCTTTAGGTTAATAGTCAAGTGCAAACCATTTGTGCCACCCAAGGACATTCTGGATACAGAAGACTAAATAAAATATATTATTAAAATTTTTATCATCTGTTCCATGTTTTGAATGTGGCTCTGGAAAATTTCATAGTAAGAGTGTGGCTTGAGTTATGTTCCTACTGGACAGAGCGGGTTTGAATGGGGGAGCTGTGGCCTGGCGCCCCCTGGTGGTGAGCTCAGCCTACCGTTGACCACAATGGTGAGCAGGCAGTCAAAGAGGGGCTGCAGCCGCTGGTGTCCACTGGTGATGATCTTGTGGAAGACCTGTGTGAGGAGTTAGGGGGTGGCTATGGGTCCCCACTGCCTGCAGACAGCCGAGAGGGCATCACCCCCACTCCTCCGGGCTCTGGCCACAGACGTCCCTCACCACAATGAGCAGGTCAGCGTGGGTCCCCGTGAAAACGGGGATGTCCATGGGCACACGCACTGAGTAGGGCTTGTTGAGCCGCACCCCGAAGTTCCGCTCCCCGCTCAGCAGCAGCAGGATAAAGACGCCGATGTGCATCAGGCCCACCCGAGCTGGGGCATGTGACACACGAGGGGTCACCATGCGGGGTCACCATGCGGGGTGGGGAGGGGAGGGAGACTGAGGCAGGGGTCCATCTTAGAGGGGACGGAGCACCAGGCCGGAACCCCTGGGAGGCAGCACAGACTAGCCAGACCCCTGCCCTCTGTGAGGGGAGCCCCGGGACCCCCCACTTGCCCCATCTCACACTGATCGGCTCGGGCATCGTTGAGGAAGAAGAGGATGGGGACCAGGATGTCCAAAACGTCGCTGCTCTTCAGCACGAAGAAGAGGAACTTCTGGTGGCAGGCAGGTGGGCTGGTCAGAGGGACGGGCAGCTCTGCTCCGCCCTCTACCCCTTGGGGTCTCCCCATGCCTGGGCCCTGCAGGGGTAGCTGCTTCCGCCCCTGCGCAGACCCCAGAGGCCAGCCCACCTTGTTGAAGTCACAGAGTTTCCAGAAGAGAACCAGTAGCTCCTGGTGGAACTGGATCTTCTTGGTGGAGTTGGGCAGGTAGGTCTGGAGCAGGGGGTTGGACAGCAGCCGGGCCATGCCCTTAAGGATGAACTGGAAGTCCTGGGGGAGGGACAGAACAAGGGGGTCTTCCAGCCTGGCTCCTCATGGCTCTGGCTCCCAGTCCAGGGCCCCTCAGGCCCCCCTGCCCCAGGTTGCCCACCCACTGAGTAAGGCTGCTCCTAGTGCCTGCCCCCAACACACACACACACACACACACACACACACACACACACACACTGAGCCGGGCCCCTGCCCACTCAGACCCCTTGTTGGCAGGTGTCATTCTCCCGCCCCCTCTCCCAAGTACCCCTGCCCATCACCCTGTGGCATGAGGAGCACTGTACTATTAACAAAGAGCTGCTGTTTATGGAGCACCTACTGCGTGCTGGGCCCCACAGTCTATGCTCATTTATCCTCACGACAAGGCGAGGAGGCAGTCACTGTTGTCACTCTCCCCATTTCACGGCTGCAGAAGCTGGAGCTCTGGAAGCTTCAGAACCCCTCCCCCAAGTCCCCATGCCTGGAAGTGTCTGAACGGGACCAGAACTTGGGCCCGCTGGACTTCCACCTCCACTGTCATTTCCTCTCCACCTCTGCAACTTGATCTCAGAGGAACCGCCTCTGGGAAGCCTTTCCAGCTACTCCTGCCCAGCTGAGGACATCAGGATTTTTCTGCATCTCGAAACCCCCACAGCCCTGCCATCACTATTTCACCTGGGGTAGCCCAAGGCCATGGAGAACTCTGGTTCCTTCACTAGGATCAGGGCCCGTGATTCCTTCACCCCCCCTCCCCAGATCCACCTGAGCAAGACCAGGGCTGGACTCACCTCCTCGCGGTGGATGCGGGACAGGTAGTTCACAAACAGGTTCTCGGGTCCTGGTGGCTGCCAGGGTAGAGGCCTGTGGTGAGCGCGTGTCCTCACCCCTCCCTCCAGGCCCCTGTCCGAGGCCCATGCGGCAGCAGGCAAGACCCTCCGACCTCAGATACCCCCTGCATGCCACAAGGTGCCTGCTGCTAGAAGGGGTGCACCCCCCCCCACCAGGTAGGGCCACCGCCTGCGTCCTTACATCAGCATCATCCATGGCAGTGCCTGTGGTGGTGCCGTCCACGGTGGGGCTGGCACTGGTGGCGCTGTCGTGGTCCAAGGTGACGATGAGCACCTGGGCAGCCTCCTCCACCAGGGGCTCCCGGTAGTCGGAGAAGAGCAGGTGGTTGTAGGGGATCCCGTAGCCCACAGGGTCATAGGCACACACGGTGTTCAGAAGGGAGGTGAAGAGGGGCAGAGCGTGTCTGTGGCGAGAGAGGAGGACGGGGCTGCTGTGGTGCCACTGGGGCCACCCTCTGTTCACCTTGGCCACATGGGAGGCCAGCTGAGCTGCCTCATTATTCAACAAGAGTCCAGGGCCAGGCCTGGGCTGGGAGCCAAGAAGTAGGACCATGAGCCGGCCCCATACTGAGTACAAAAGCCCCCTCCTCGTCCACGCCCATGCCTGGGCTCTGGCCAGGGCCCAGCTGGACGAAGGGCAGAAGGACTTCCTTCCTGAGAGCAGTGTGGCCACTCGTGAGGGTTCTTGGCAGAAACCGTGTCCATACCCCTTAGGTTCTCAAGGGACAGATGCTCTTTCTTGGGCTTAAGAGAAGCGGCTGGAGTCCCACAGGGGACGCAGAGCGCATGCTCAATGGTGTGCTCGTGGCGATCCCGCGTGTGTCAGAGTAGAGCTGTGCTCTGTAGGGTTTTCAGTGGCTGATTTTTCAGAAGTAGATTGCCAGGCCTTTCTTCCGAGGCGCCTCTGAGTGGACTCAAACCTCTAACCCTTTTGTTAGCAGCTGAGCACATTCACTGTCTGTGCCACCCAGGGATTCCCAGACGCAGAGCACACGCTCTATCACCCAGCTCCCAGGCCGCCACACAACCAGATTCAGAGATTCGTAGGATGTCAGGGTTCAAGCTCCTCATCTTACGGATGAGGAAACTGAGACCCAGAGAGGTTAGAGGAGTGGCAAAGGGGACATCCTACACGGTGGCAGTCTGTCCGATAAGGATGGAGAGAAAAAAATGTTGTCTAGCTCATGACTATGGCAGGTGGAAGGAATCCCCTGGGGTCCCTTCTCTCTGGGGGAGAAACAAAAACGGTGGGCAGGAAGCCAGTAAAACCTGAAGGATGAGGCATGTAGTGTAGGAATCAGGGGCTGGAAGGAAAGCGGCAAGCCACCACCCTCAGGGACACTGACTCCCGTGCAGCCAGCACGGTCCTGGGCACAGCTGCAGCGTGTGTACCAGCTCCACAGACTCAATCCGGCCATGTGGCTCATGTGCACCTCTGTGTAATTGTATGTGCCCCCTTAGGCCAAGAGTGCCCCCTGTGGGCTGGGTTTCCCCATCCTCAGGGTTATTCACTACACCTGCTCCCCATCCAGCATCTAAGCTCTCCTGTGATTACGCACACTTGAAATGTGGCTCGTCCGAAGTGAGTTTGTGCTATAAGTACCAACTACATGTCAGGTTTTGAGTACTCAGTATGAAAAAGAGAGTGTAAACTATTTCAATAATTTTGTATACTAACTATATGTTAAATGCTATTTTGGATATATTGGGTTAAATGAAGTAGATTACAATAATTTTACCTGTTTCTTTTACTTTTCAATGTTGCTACTAGACATTTTAATTGCACGTTATATTCTTACTGGACAGCACTGATCTAGACAGGGGACTCAGGCATAGAACACCCAATTCTCTCCTGTCCCCAGGTCTCCAAAAGCCGGTGGACAGCGCTGGTAGACAGTGCTCGCAGGTGAGGCTGGTGAGTTATAGCTCATCACCACCAGGGGGCAGCACCTCCACTCACATCAGACTCACAAGGCTGGTGAGGGGTCTCCGCTCTGGGCTGCCTTCAACAAGAAGGAAGAGGAAGGGAAAGAAAAGCCAGGAACTCCTCACCTGTTCTCCGTGGAACAAAAGAACTGCACCCACGGGTTTGTGCTGCCACTGTCCGGAGCTGGGGGCAGGTACATGGCCTCAGAGAAGCAGGTGAGCAGTAGCTTCAGCAGCTCCGTCCTTGGCGGGGAGGAGGAACGGGAGAGGGGTTCAGTACCTGTGGGTCCCAGCTCCCCTCTAGAGGACGCTGCCCACCCTGGCTTGCACCCCAGCCCAGGTGCATGGAAAGAAACGATCCCTGTGAGGCTGAGGCAGGGTGGCGAGGTGGGAGGGTCTGCATGCAGCTGCGTGGGGCCCTGGCCTGTGCAGGCTCACCGGTTCATGTCGTGGGTATAGCTGGGCTGCGGGGAGTGTGCAAAGCCCACACCAGCCTCCCAGATGTATTCACAGCTGTCCAGGGAGTGGATGTCTTCCGCCGAGTCCTGTGACAGGGATAGGGTTACATCAGGCTAGGGCTCAGAAGGAATAACAGCTTGCGACAGAACCCCACCAACCCAGGCCTCCCACCATCCCTAGGGGCAGAGACCTTCACAGTCTCCTAAAGACAGACCCTCAAATGCCCAGGGTCCTAATTTACAAGGAAAGAAATGGATGTTTTTAGACCTCTTGAAAGCCCATTCTGCCTCCATCCTACGCTGGTTCTTTTACTTGCTCATTGCAGCTTGAGACGAGGAGATAACGAGGGGTGGAGACGGGACTGGGTGCCCCTGGTGGTGTGTGGGGGTGGGAAGCAGAGAACACCCAAGATCAAGTCCATGGAGACCTCGGGAAGGGTGAGGACCAGGCCTCCTGTGTCCAAGTTCCACCCCACCCCCCACCCACCTCGGCAGGCGGAGACAATGCGTGCCTGTGCCCAGCTGCCACATGCCGGGGCAGGGCCGGGCACAGCTGGCTCCTCTCCAGCTGTGCAGCCACCACCCCCTTCCCCGGGGCCATGGGTGCCAGGCAGCCCAGCTCTCCCTGAGCAGCTCCTCCCCCTCAGCATCCCACCCAAGGAGATTCACTCTTAACGCTTCCCAACCCAGGAGCAGAGCCGGGAGGCCCCAGTGGGGTGATTCTCACCACAGTGCTCCTTCGATGGCTCTGGACCGTGAAGTCTGGGCAGAACAGCAGGTCAGCGATGGCCAGCAGCAGGGACTCGGCCAGGGGCCGGGCATTCTCGTCGTCCTCCTCTCCCTGCTGTGGGACACGGCACCCACGGGCCCCCTCTCAGTGGGAGCTGGCCAAGGAGAGGTGGCCCCAGGGCATGGAGGGGACATAATGGGGACTGGGCCCAGGCAGGCACCCATGGACAGAGGGATGAAGGAAGAGGAAGTGGATTCCCATTCACCTCCAAACCTCCCGGTGAGGCCCAAGAGGGCAGGGCAGGGAGGGTGCCTGGGGCCTCAGGGACAGTGAGGACACCTCCCTGCTGACTGGGGGAGGCACTTGGCTGGGGGAGGGGGCCAGGCTGTGTCCCCTACCTCAGGAGCCTCAGCCCTGCTGGGAAGTCACTGGGCCCCACCCCTGGGCCAGTTGCCTGGAGATAAGCCCAGGCTGGGGTGGGGAGAGGACTGCGTGGCCTGGCTTCACCCTCAGAGTCCCCAGCCGCCCTGCTCCCTGTCCAGCCACCCCCTGCCCCTGACTTCCCTCCATGTCTCCACATCTTCCCAGCTGTATGTGGGCAGAGACCTCCGTGGGAAAAACACTGAGGGCCCAAGGGGGCCGCCTTGACCCCCAGCCCTCAGCGGCCCTCCCACCCTCCCCTGCCCTGTCAGAGGCCCCTTCTGAGGAAGAGATCCCTGAAAGCATGTGCTCCCTGTCCCACCACTCCACCCCCTAGGCCCAGCAGGCCCACTGACCCCTCCTCGCCCAGCCCCGGGCACGGTGGACCAGAAGAAGCCCCTCCAGTCGGGGTCCTCGAAGATGTAGGGCAGCACACGGGTGAGGAGGCGGCTGCAGTTCAGGACAATCTGCTTCTCCTTCTCGGAGTGGCAGCCGCCCTCGGCTCCCTGCACCAGCTTCTCCACGGCCTGCGGGGCGGGCAGGGGGCAGAGGGCACCAGGAGGGTCAGGGTGGGCACCCAGGCCAGCTCTCCAGACAGGAGTGTGGGCACAAAGGGTTCACGGGGGAACAGGTCAGGAGCCCAGGCACGTGGGCACCAGAGCAGCCTAGGGCATCATCATGGAGCTGAAAGCCCAGCTCACCACGCAGTGGCTGAGACAGCTAAGCGACGTCACCCCTCTGAGCCTCAGTTTCCTCATCTGTAAAATGGCCACACTAGCAGTACCAGCCTCACCGGGCTGTCTGGGGAGCTGAACTTGGAAAAGTCTGACCCAGAGGAAGTCCTCGCACAAGGAGGCTGCTGCGATTACGTCCCTCACGGAGCTGGGTCGGGAGAACGGTGGGGCCTCGGACCGCCCGGGCCTTCGGGGTGTCCCGGGTACCTGCCCTCTGACCACAGGGCTGCGCCACCCTTGGCCTCCCTAGGAAGGGCGGTAAATGGCTCTGCTGGGAGAGGCGGGGGCCAGGCACCCCCACCTTGTAGCACAGTGTGGCCAGGTTGGAGGGTGACTCCTCCCGCACCGCCCGTATCTCCGCTGCCGGCACCAGCGCAAAGACGTCCTGCACCGAGGTGGCCGTGTCTGCCCAGAACTGGTCCCAAAAGGCATCATCGGTGGCTTCCACAGGCTGTGGGGAGACCCAGTGTCCTAGAGTTACACGACTCCTTGTCTCCAGGCCCACAGCGTGTCCAACCTACGGTCAGAAGAGACCACAAGACCGAGGCCGGAGCCCCCTACTCCATCCCATGTGGGGGCCATCCACAGCCACCATCGCTCCTGGCCAGCACAGCCAGGCTGGGGACAGTCAGTGTGGATAGCTGGGGCTCAGCTGAGCATCTATCCAGCAGGTAAAGCCCGACCCAGTCCCTGAGACTGTGTGACCTTGACTAAGTCACCGTCCTCCTCTGGCAGGGCACACTGTCCTCCCATGTAAACTGGGCACATCCCCAAGCCGTGCTGCCAGATCAATGCCCAGGGACCCAGACCAAGGGGACGCTCACTCCATTATCATTCACTGCCACACAAACACACAGCCCCAGACTCCACCCTCTCTTGGCACACCCAACAGATGCCAAACGCTGTGGATTCAGCCTCCAAGGCTCTCCGACCTGCACCTTCCCCTCTTGGTGTCCACTGCCAGCATTGCAGTGCAGACATCGCCACTCCTGCCAGGGCCCCGCCTCCAACTTTCCCTCCTTGATCCACCCTCTACACTGCCCTCCACCGATGTACCAAAGCACGGTGCCAAACACATTGCTCCCTCACTCAAAGACCTTCAGTGGCTCCCCACTGCCTGCTGGACCAAGTCCAAACCTCTGCCCCACAGCTGGCCAAAGCCTTAAACATACAGGTATACACAAACACATGCACACACACACAGACATGCGGATACATGTACACACATACACACTCATGCACACACACACACACACACACACACACACACCCCTGTATTTCCTAGCCCTCGACAAGACCCTGCTCTCTCCCGCTCTTTACCTTTACTCAGGCCATCCCCTCTTCCCAGCATGCCCTCCCCTTCCAACGCCACCTTCTAAAATCCCACCAGTCCTACTGAGACAAAATGCCTGAGAAAGCTCATGCCCCTCGACTCATAAATTCCAGTTCTAGAAATCTCTCCTAAGGAAATGCTCAGAGATGTGCATGTGTGAGGATGTTTACTGGAGTGTTAAGTCAATAACAGTGGAAAGTTGGAATCAAGCTAAATAGCTAACAATGAGGGGGATGTTTAAAAAGTTCAGGTACATCCATACAATGGAATATCACGCAGCCATTAAAATCATGCTTTCAAAGGATAACAATGAATGGATAATGCTCATGGTACAATGCTATGCAAAAAAGAAAGGATAGAAACAACCTATAGGATGATCATAATTCTGTGTTAAATTATATATGAATAAAAGACTAAAAGCAAACAAACCAGAATGTTAACAGCAATTAGCTCTCTACCTGGTTTTTAGTTTTTCTTTATATTTTTATGCAAGAGCACATATTACCCTTTTTTCCTTTCTCATCTGTTGAGAGACCAGCATGTTCAAGGCTCCTCCACTCCCTCAGGCAGTCCTGCCCCTTTAAGGCTCCCTCCACATGTCATCTCCTGCAGGAAGCCTTCTGTCATGGATTGAATTGTGTCCCCAAAAATATCTGTCAGCTTGGCTGGGTTATGATTCCCAGTGTTGTATGATTGTGTTATCTGATGTGATTTCCTTATGTGTTGTAAACTCGATCACTATGATGAGATTATATGTGATCTCCTTATGTGTTATAAATTCTATCACTCTCATGAGGTTATGCTGATGAGGTTGACAAGATTAGATAGTGTCCTAATGCAATCTTTTTTGAGATATAAAAGAGAGAAGCGAGCAGAGACATATGGGAACCTCATACCACCAAGAAAGCAGCGTTGGGAGCAGAGCGCGTCCTTTGGACCTGAGGTTCCTGCGCAGAGAAGCTCCCAGACCAAAGGAAGACTGATGACACGGACCTTCCTCCAGAGCCAACTGAGAAAGCGTTCCCCTGGAGCTGACGCCCTGAATTTGGACTGGTAGCCTACTGGACTGTGAGAGAATAAATTTCTCTTTGTTAAAACCATCCACGTGTGTTATCTCTGTTAGAGCAGCCCTGGATGACTAAAACGCCTTCCCAGATTGCTTCAATCTACACAGCCTTTTCTGTTTCCTAAAATCCTAGGGCTGAGAAAGCCTGAGGTCCTGCTACCACCACAAGTCTGCACTAAATATACATCACTCTTACCATCAGGAAAAAATATATGCCTTGTTGAAAAATAATCCCGTTCTCTTGAAACCACTTCCAAGAAGCCGCTTCCCAGATCTCCAGGCTGATGAGTTTGCACCCACCCTGGAACCCCCCGCCCCCACCCTCTCCTCTGGCACACACCACTGTCCCTGAGCCTGTGGGTCTCTGTGCACTTGCTCACGGCTCCATCAGTCCATGAGCTGGTCTTCCCTGACCTTGCACTTAAGGCATATGGCAGACGCCCAGCCAATATTTGTGCAGCTGAAATCAGTCCTGGAGACCCCTTCAGCCTGTTCACTGGGCAGGGCCAGGCACCAGTGGGCTGTCCAAAGGCAGAGCTGGGGTGGCCGGCCTCACCAAGGTCAAGCATACCCTCAACTACTCCCCAAGGCCCACGGGGTAACACGGGGCCAGGGCCCTCGGGACAGGCTGGCACAAGGGACTGCTCAGTCCCAGAACTGGTAAAGCCAGCTAGCTGGGGGAGAGGAACAAGGGCCCAAGGAGGGGCCCTGGGGCTGGGGTTTGCTGGCCCTCATGCCCTCAGCCAGGATAGCCCTCTGACACTCACTGGGGTCCAGAGCCAGGACAGCCCAGTCCAGCTTGTCCTGGGGCTGAGGAAGGACCTTCCAGAAAACCCTTGGAGCTCCCCAAAGGGCCTCTGGGAAGCGCCCCATCTCTGACATTTCCCCCACCTCCCTCAAAGGGGCAGGGAGTCATCTGGGCACCAAGTGACATGACCTCTGACCTAGCTGATCCTGCAAGCATCACCTGGGGACTGAATTCAAAACAAGGAGACAGATTCAGGAGGGAACTGAGAAGGCCCCGGGGCAGCCCACTCTGGAAGCAGGGGAAAGATCCCAGGGAGAAGACTGGCCTTGCACATCTTCCCCATCCCCAACTTGGGCCTCCTGTCCTGGTCCCACTGTGGCTCAGACACTTGGATTTGGTGACCACATCAACTAACTGACCACACCAGGCTAGCCTGATGTGACAGGCATTGGCCAGAGTCACGGGGGTCCCTTAGGCTTCTGGCGGGAGAGACACGGCTCAGCTCCTGCCTCAGTTTCCCCAGATGGGCTCCATCCAACACAAGGAAGCTTCTAAAATCTGAGCCAGTTTCTTTGAAGGGTATTTTTGCTGGAGGTGGGCCGGTCCACGCTGTCCATCCAGAGGACAGAGCTTATCCTGGTGGGAAACCAGATGTTGTTAACCCAGCTCAGGCCAGACCCCCTCAGGGACCCAGGAGACCAGCTGCACCTTTTGAGCCTCTCTGGGGATGAGGGGGGAGCAAGGCCAGCCATGCTCTAGTGACACATGTGACCTGACTGGGAGGAGTGTGTCATTGCTGCATTCACATGCACATACATGTGCACACGTGCAAACCGCTACCCACCAGGTCTCATCGGAGATTTCTGAGAATCTCCAAATAGGCGGAGTCTGGGAGAGAACCCCAAGGCCAAGAATGCCTCCCAGAGCCCCGCCTGCCCTGGGAAAGGTCAGGAAGCCCGCAGAAGCTATTGCCCTCTGGATCGGGGTCAGGCCTGGCCCAGGGCTGGACAAAGGGGCAGGAAGAAAACAGGATGTGAAGCAGGAAGGTGGGGAAGGCTGAGCAGCACAGGCCGTGCCTCCAGGCAAAGGTGTTGGGCCCACTTGTCTGCCACCCAGAGCAAAAGTCTGTTTCCCCAGCACTGCCTCTGAGACGCCCTGTGGCCAACAGGCCTTAACGTCCTGGGGGACACTGAGTGGCGAGGTCTGGGATGACCGTCTGGGATCTGGCCCTCACCCTCAAGCTGGCCAAGCCAAGTCACCACCCAGGGTCCCAGGCTTCGGCTACTAAGGGCCTCGCCAGGCAGCCCAGGCCCCCTTCCCACCAGGCCCAGGCTGGTCTCTGGTTCCTGCTCTGTTCCAAGCTGACCCACTGTCCTCAGTTGGGAGATGGAGCAGCCCTGTCTCAGCCAGCCCCATCATAGGCTGCAGCCAGGCAAAGACAGAAGGATGCCATGTTTTGGGGAGGGGGCCGGCACAGGTAGGAATCTAGCCCACCCAAGGTCCTCTGGGTCCCAGCTGGTCCTGCGGGCCTGGCAAAGGACCCCAGCTGCTCAGCCAACAGCCCATACAGCATTCCTCCAGCCAGGTGTTTCCTCCCCAGGTAGGTAAACATGGGTGTCTCCCTTCCTCCTGCAGCCCCCGCTCCCTGCCACACACTGACCTCGAAACCCCATCCCAAGAAAGCCAAGTGCCAGGACCAGCCTGGAGCCATGGTCCTGGGTGGGGAGAAGCAAGGTCTGGTTACTGTCAAAGGCCTCTCGGTGGGTGCTGGACTCACCAGAGGCCCTGGGCATTTGCCAGACACCTGACCTGTACAGGGTGGAGACCAGAAGGTGTGAGGACCAGAGGCCCAGCCTCCAGGGGTATGACTAGCTGGCTGTGGGGAGACGGCTTTCTCGATCCCGCAAGAGA